ACAAGGGCGCCGCCAGAAAATGTTATCAGGGGGGGCAAGTACGATCGGTTCATGCTAGGATGCCTACCCCAAAATCTCTTTCGCCATATTCGCTCACTTGTAGTTGTACTTACTATGTATACGTAAAATCATTAATCATTTCATTGGCATAGTATCAGATAAACATATTAGGGTATTCAAAAAATTCATTGTCGTGACTATAGCCATAGATAAAATTGTCTGTATTTTTTCTGTGCATATATAGCTAATCGCTGTGAACTATTTATTTAAATATAACACTTACTAGCTACTAGGTTAGTACTTTATTAATATTACATTCGTTTATTTAAACAAAAACTGCATTCTCCGTTGCTCCATTGCAAACAAGTCAATGGATTTTTCTATAAATGCATCTTTTGATTGTTGGATCAAATCCTTATGCACCGACATCAAGCATAGTCCACTTAATCGGGAATTCGCCATTGAGCTTCGTATCCAAGTTTTTACTTGTTTCAAAGTACTGAAACAAGTAAATAACTCAGTAAAATAGATGCACCAAAATCATTATTAAGTACATTCAAACATAGAGAAGAACAAATAGAAAATATATTTGGGTACCTACCTAAAAGATCTTTCGATCGTGCACGTTGTTGGAGGCAGGGTAATTGCTATTTGAATTGCCTTGCTCACATTTGGTAAGAAGAATGCATGATTGTGATCCAGTAGCTCTACCAAGCAGATCTTGTTTACACTTTCGGCACTGGCATTATCTGCTATTAGATTAACTTATGCACAGACACAAATTACAGGACTTTCGACTTTACATATTTAGAACAACCTGAAATAAGTACCTCAACTCGTCGAACAACATTAAACAAAAGATGTAACTTTCTCTTAACTACCTGGGGTGGAGATTACCAATATTATCCCGGTTCGGTTATACTTATTTATAGAACTGAAATATGCAAGGCAAGGCGAAAACGCTCCGCTCGACCTCGACAGTCGACGCTCGTATTGTTTACTAATCGTTTTGTTTAGCAAACGTACAGTTACTGAGTTACTTACACCTACACATTACAGTGTGGTATCAGGTATCTGCTGAAAGACGTTTTTCGTCATTTAAATGACTGAAAACCTACATAAGGAATAAAATGTAAGACCGTTTATCTGGTCTTGCATTATTAAATGTGCATTTTATAAAACGTACGTTTTCCCAGGGGGGGCGACGGCACCTCCTGGCCCCTCTCTGGCGGCGCCCTATAAAGCTGAACGAAATTCACATCCAACGTTACTTTTGCACATCAAAAACACAAATGGTGAAAGCGTCTCTTCATGCGTTGTTCGATTGACATTTAGCTTCGTTGTAGAACACTACCCATCAGTGTGGCACTTTTAGTGCAGAGGGCGCAAGCATTAATAAGTTTACATAGATATATAAATACATAGATACAGCCATACCCCAACATAGTTCAAAAGGACGTACCATCTATTACCATCACTTTCGGCACATTAATTACGTATAGCGCTATCCTTTATAGAGGTACCCTGAGCATGGAAGGCAAGATTCGCATTATTTATTATAACTGTCAATCAAATTGTTAGCACAAATCACACAGAAAATTATCAAATTTGAGACTTTACAACATAAATAAACCGCCTTTTTATTTATTTAAATTACATAGCAGCAAAGAAATGTTACATTTAAAATGGAAGATGTTATTTAGAAAGCTGGCAAATGAAGAATTTGAAAAAATTACAGCTGACAACTGGAAGAAAGTGTGTGAACATGTGGAAAGTGATTAATTTAAAAGAGAAGTTATATTGGTTGATGTTTCTGAAGTTGACAGTGATGATTCGGATTTGTCAATTTCATCTGATGATGATTCGGATTGTGAACTTTTACAAACGTAATGAATGTTGACTAAATGATTATTATCACCAATTGGATATCATTGTTAAGATGTTGTATTTATTTTAAATAAATGTACACAGCGTGTAGCTTACTTACTACAATTAGCACTATAATTTCAAAAAGAAACCCCACCGATTGTACAACATATGCCGAAAGGGAGGCAAGACGCGTAGCGACCAAAATTTGATATTGCACGCACACACAGTCTATAAATCTCGTTTTCCTAAGAATATTGCACGGATCCTTCTTTGTGATCATATGATACAAACGCACTGCATCAACATCATATAGGCCAAAATGATAATTGGAAACGAATTCACTTCCTGTCGCAACTTAATCTCCGTTACCAATACGCCTAAAACCATGCAATTAAAATTAAAATGTTGAACATAAACTTTACTTACGGTTTTTTTGGTATTCTGTAAGCCAGCAATGAATTCACTGCAGCACATCATGCCAAACAAGGTAAACATAGTCCCAAATTTGAATGGCGTAGCTCTATCTAATAAAACTATTTCAGGAATAACAATTATGGACGCGTCTATCATTATGGCAAGCACTAATGTTATTCGTATTCCATTGATAACGCAATAATTACATAATATTTAGTGAATAAACCGGCCATTTAGTTAGATTTGATTTCGCGCGATCGTGAAATGTGTCAACTGTCACATGACTTATGGGACGCGCTAAGTTTGTTTTAAGCGTCCGATTCGCGTACGACATAGAAGTTAATGCAATAAAAAGAGATAGAACATGTTTCTTCTTGGTTAGAAAGTAATGGAGAGATGTACAAATTTCTTTGATATGTTTTTTAAAAACCGAGGTACGTTTGTTAAGGATGGCTGTATCTAGGTATTTATATATCTATGTAAGTTTATTAGAAATTAATTTTAAGTGGCCACTGTTCGTGCTATGGCCACTGTTGGCGGACGTCCCCTACATCTTAAGTTTCTTTTGTGAATGATTTTTATCTCGATTTTTATTTATAGATAACGTGGACCGTTATTCGAAAAAACGATGATGAACTTGACGCAATTCCTAAGAATTGGATTACGTTCCCTAACATAGCAGTTTATCCAGACAAGGGAACAGCAACAGTTACCAAAATGGCAAAGAATGGGACACCTCCAGAAAGTGATTGGTTACAAGTGCCAATCACTGTCGTAAAAGAAAATTATGGTAAATTTATGAATAAACCCTCAAAGAAACCATGGTTTCAGGAACTGAAAACAAATGTTCGTTATCCATCCACATAAGTATAGTTTTTTTTTCTTTGAAATGCCGATGTTAGGTTTTATTTCTAGTAATGGCATTTTATTTTTCAGCAAGTTTCGATCGCTGCATGAAAGATGCGATTCGGTTTGACAGGGGGGGGGGGCGGTCTATTAGCGCGTCCGAAACTGAGGAGAGGGGTGCTGGACGAAGAATCTCCCGTGTTCGCAAACGTTCGCCGTCCATTGAGAGTGATTCAACGGAAGAATATCCAGAACCCCCTCGTAAGAAAACGCCCAGAACATCACCACGGTACAAAAAAAATTTGTCATTTTCAAGTACTGAGACATCTCATCCCGTGATCAATTATCCGGCTACTTCAGAAATTCGACAACCTTCTCCATCAGGGAATGCAAAAGTCACTCAAGTACGAGTATTATGTGAAATCTCAAAAAAAAAGCATTTTTGCTCGTTGCAAAACCCAGTGACATTGGAGTCATTGGCGCGTGGCCTTTGCGAGCTTTCAAGTAAACAAAACAACTTCATTAATATAATACACTGATTTTTCTTTTTTTAGAGAGTGTACATGGCTTGCAGAGTAAGGTTAGAGATTTAAGGCAGGAGATAATGAGCAAAAGGTCGGAGGCATCATCAGTACCAGATATACAGGGTGATTCCTATAGTACCTGCCACCGTTTGGGAGCGTGTAGGTGGTGCGTAGGGGAGTATTTTGATATAGGACACTTGGGGTCGGAAATCTAAAATAAGAGTGCCAGAGCCAAATTTACCTTCTGGAATTTCGCGCCTGTAGGTAGGCAACCCAACCGGCCGGCGGTGCACACGGAGCGATCTCAGGCGGCGATGTGTGGCTGACACTTGATCAGAATTTTGTTTAAACCCACGAAATCCCGTCTGCAACGACGCGTATCAAGTGAATAAACACTATGGCAATAGTATAATAATAGTTGGCTAGATGTAGGAAGGCATTGAGAACAACGGTGGCCACGTTGAACACTTGTAAACGTTATTGCTTTTGACTGTCGTTTTCCCTCCTTCCCTCCCATGTCGCTTCCTCGCGCTAACTCGCTCTGCATCGCTCCGCGCGAAACGTCGGTCGGTTGGGTTGCCTACATACAGGCGTGAAATTCCAGAAGATAAATTTGGTTCTGGCGCCCTTATTTTAGATTTCCGACCCCAAGTGTCCTATATCAAAATACTCCCCTAGGCACCCCCTTATACGCTCCCAAACGGTGGCAGGTACTATAGGAATCACCCTGTATATTTCTGCTTTCTCATCAACCCTACCGCATAGAAGGATGTAATTTATCTAGGTGTTTCTACACGCATTCAGATTTTGTAAAAATGTTTCTAAAATTCCCACTCCAAGATAGTGCACCACTAAACAGTGCGAATAAATCCTGATCTTCACAATGTTTGATATCCGAGTGTGACAATATGGCAAAAAAGAAATCGTTTGATTTCAAATTATTTCCTTTTTATTAAGCCCTGTTGCACCATCCTGACTTACTACAGTTTAAGACATAGCTTAAGCACTATTGCACTAGTCACAAACATTTGCCTAGCCCGCCTTAAATGTAAGACGCTTTACTGTCACAATCGATGCCATAGTAGATATTTGTAGTAATTAATACCAATGCAGTTAATCCACTTAAATCATTGTTTATAATGACCACTGGTCAACCTACAATCTATAATTCGTAATGGAACACCCTGTATTTTATTTCAATTTTTAATAGAACATTTTTTATCAACACAAAAATGAGATTCAATATTGTTTATCTCCAGGATAACAACGATGCATTGCCAAATCAAATGTACTTTTTGAGGCAATTAATACTGAGATCTATCTATAGACTTGTTGCGGAGCTCTCTCCTTTTTCGAATGGATATTCACAATTCCACCTTGGTATTTTACAATTTACAACAACATCTGTTTACCAAATTTCATGTTCAGTTCAGTTTACTTGGTTCCCACATTTGCCCATCTCTGTACATATTATAATTCTTCGAAGTGTACATTAGAAAGAAGACTCATGTAGCTAGACAGGCCATTAGTAATATCCTCCACCACCCAATTTTTCTGTTTTATTATTTCTAAATGGGCGAAAGCTTATGAGAAAGCATAGAGGTACATGTACGTTGAGCTTTTGACTTTTCTTGCCAAATGACAGAAATACATACCTATTAATTTAAAAATTTTACGCCATTTTTTAAGACGTAGGAAAAAATGATACTCCTTTTTCGCTAGCTTACATATCCTTCATTTATAGCACCTCTACCTTCTGCTCATGATAACTTCACTGACAAAACCAATAATTTCTTATATTCGAAACATTATTATTATTATTGTAGTATTTTTGTAAATTTAAGTAGAGTGTCATTTGTCAGTCCACTGAGCAAAACCAAAAGTTCCCCAGAGAAGCCTTACAACAAATGGTTGGTTGTTTTAAAAAAGACAATTATAAGGAGTATGTTTTCTCACGTTTCAAAAAACTGTTCATTGCCACACATAAATATAAAACCTACGGCGTCCTATTTAAAAGGACAAATTGTGAGTCAACTTCAGTCCCAAGTCCTATAAAAGTAAAAATATTTTAGCTGAAATCATTTGAATAACGCATACGTATAAATTTTCAGAAATTTATTCGCATTAGTTTTCCGCAAAGTAATTAACCCATTTTGTCATTAAAACACCCTGTATAGTGGATCAGTAGTCTTCCTCATGTTCACAATTTTATTTGTTGCATTTTATTGTTCTTGCGAGTTGTGTACATCACTATTGCCCTTTGTTTATTGGGCTTTATCGGATTTACAGAGTGATTAGTTTAGTGGTAATCAGTGAGACCATGTACTTGTACATTTCTCAAGAACATAGCATAATTTTTCAGTTATATATTATTGCAAGTATTTGTTCACTAACGTTCATCTATCAATTGAGTGCAATTTTAATTACATTAGTTGTGATGGTAACAATCACTTTTACGTTAGTGAGGGAAAAGATTAGAATGAAACACTTAATTTGGGAACTTATCAATAACTGTATAATAGAGAAAACACGATAGCATTTGAAACATGTGTAAAAAATAAGGAGAATAAAATCGTAATATATAATTCCATATAAAAATTATACCCAATGCCAAATGTGTACGATCTATGTACTAAAACTTAAATATATATATATTGTTAACCAACCAGCGTACGCAAACTAACCAATGTTACTCGGATTTAGCCAATTTTAAAACATGCAAAATAACTTCGTCAACAGTTTGATTGTTTAAAAGAGACTTAACCGCTTCATCATCAATAACAACAGTAAATAACAGTTTGGCGTTCTCGCGCATCCTTCCGATGTAATCAAAATTTTCCTCCGATGCTGGTTTGTGACCACACCGTTTTATTACGGCATCGAGTAGTTTATCTACGGGTGTGTTTGGCCATCCAAAAGATTCCAACGTGTCTTCGTCAACGAGTAGGTTGAGTAGTTCTTTTATTGAGTCGGTCAACGTAAGTTCGTTCCATACCGTACTTTCAGTTATATTTTTGTCTGCAAACTTTGATGCATCCGACGCAGCAATCAACAATTGCTGTTGTAGTCGTTTTTTCTCCGCGCCCGCCATTATATCCTCCAAAACGTCTCGGTGTTTGGCACGCATGTGGCGCAATAAGCAATCTTGGCGAATGAACGCTCTTCCGCATTCATCACAACTGCATGGCTGTTCTTTTCTATGAGTTAGCATGTGCAGTTTCAAAGATGATTTTATGGAGAAACGTTTTTTACATAATTCGCATTCGAACGCTGAAAAATGACACGGGAGATTACACAATCCTCATTACAATAGACACAATCAAACAGTGCAAAATATAAAGTGAGATTCAGGGTGTGCTATTCATTTCTTGATTGAGTTGAGTACCAACCAAAGCAAGAAATCACAGCGGCCTACAGCAGATTTTGGGGATAAACAATGCCATAGATGTAAATATACTACAGATAACTCATCCCATGTTTTGAGTTTTGACTATGGCTATTTGTACCTGTGGAGTTTAATAATAATAATCTTTATTGTGCACAAGAAGTATATCACATTACACAATATAGGTGTAAGTTTTGGAATTTGGAATTTTTGTTTACATGGGAAATCGTATGTAACTTGAACTTCCAAAGGTCACTCAACAGCAACTCATTTTTGATCGCCTGTTACAAGGTAATGAAGTTACAGCTTATTTTATTTCAGTCATGTTACGAAAGATATTTGGGCACTTACTTATGGATGATAACTAAAAACTCAACATTTGACAAAGCCTGCTTTCCATCAGGCCTAAACATTTGCCATACTTCTGAACACAGCAATGTACATAAATATGTGTAACAACGTATGAAGAAATTTGTACAGATATAAGATTCTTGTAAACAACGACCATGCAGAAATTCCTATTCAATATCCCCACTGAACTAACTACTCCTCCCAAATCCAAAACGAGTAAAAAGAACGGACTATTTATGTGCACTGGGTGACCCAATAAGACTGTTCCTCGGCCATATCTCGGGAACCGTTCGTCGTATGTCTTAATTTGTAAAAAAATTGTTGGGTAATCTATATTTTGTTTCATGCTTATTGCCCAAGGAGTGCTCTTTTCAACAATACCAAATTTGTTAAAATCGGTCAAACCGTTAAGAAGTTAAACCAGGTTATTGCAAAAACAATTGAACCATCTTTGTTTTTGAAATAACTAAGTTTTTGTTTTTACGAAAATGATAGATAAACTCGTTCTCTAAAAATGTAAAAAAATTTTTTTAGTTTATTGTGCAAAATTTAAAGAAAATGCAATTTTAAAATTTACGACGGCAGTTACGCCCTCTGGTGGTCATTTTTAGAACTTGAAAATATTTTCCAGCGATTGTTCATGACCGATTTACCGAATAATTTTTTTACCCCTAAACCATATGACGAACGGTTCCCGAGATATGGCCGAGAAACAGTCTTATTGGGTCACCCGGTACAAAGGGAAATAAGTTAAAGCGAATTTATTTTAAGATTCAAATAGTAATTTTTTTGTAATAATAACCAACGGTGTATGAAGGCTGGCACAACTTTCATAAACCATTGATTCTATTATGAAAGTGTGGTAAACAGTAATAACAATAACTAATAAATAAGCAAGTTGGTATTGCAAAGAAATATCTCTTTAAATAAGAAAGCTGGCATTGCGCAGTTTGCGCACATCTGTTTTTTACACTATGCAATGTTCGCCTATACTAGAAACCTTTGTTTCAAATTTAAAAAAAATATTGCTATGCAAACAATGTCAATGGGCAAGGTTAGTAGAGAGAGTAGGTTGCCTCGTAACTTTAGAGAGACGCGTCATCGAGAATCTGGAAGTCCCATTTGATTGGTGTTTAAATTTTCGTGGACTTTGACAGTTATATTTGAAATGGATCGCAGACTCAGTTTTTTGCTTTTCCAAAAGGTAATCCCTGTATTACAAAAAGAATGGGTTATAAAGAAAGGGGAACCTGAACCCCGTATGCAATAGACTGGGCAGTCTGCATTCCCGGCGGAAGACTATGAAGATGAAATGTAAGCTGTTTTGAATAAAGTGCGTTTAATATTTCGCTAGCATGTTTCTTGCTATGCAATGCACATCCATGTAAAGTACCATTTCGATCCATATTGCATTTTTTGAACTTGCTCTGTTGTAATTAATTTTTATGATGTGGACAAAATGGGATTCTGGGTGACGTCATTCGCGTATTTTAATACTGAACGTTTATTGGCTGAAAGTTACGAGGCAACCTACCTTCTCTATTAACCTTTGTCAATGGGGACGTTTGGTTTGGTCCAGACGTTCTATTTGCTTATCCAAGTGGTTTGTTTTGTTTGGTTGCGTCGTAAAAGATTATTTTCTAGAATTGTGAAATGTAGGGCAATTTATTGCTTATTTTTTGCTTTATTAAATTATGTATGTGACAGTACTAATTTAATTCATGGGCACTTTGATTATAAAAAGTTGACGTAATTTAATCAGTAAAAAATGCGTTTTTTCGTAGAATCTGAGATAAGACATTTTCGCGTAATATTTTGATGCCTGCGTGACTACAGGAGCGTCAGGAAACGGACCTCTGACTGGTTGTCGGGTTGCTACATCCCGTTAATTGTATAAAGTTCTTTTCGAATTTTGGAAGTGGGGACACGTTATACCGAAGTTAGCGTAAGAAGGGGATCTTTCGCCAAATTCGAGGCCGAGTTGCTGTTCGTTGGAAGCCTAGAAGATACGCATGTTGTTCGTAAAGTAAAATTCATTACGTAATAATCAGGAAAGCAGCTGAGATCAAGTGAAAGTTTAGAGAAGATGTAGTAAAAGTTTGGATGTAGCAGTTTTTTCATTGAAATTGTTGTCTACTGTTTCCAGACAGCCTTCGTTTCATCTGTCGTGGTTGGCCAGCTAGTTGAATTCAATCGAATAAAATCACGTTCCTGTGACCTGATCAGAAGATAAGTTAAAGAAGAACAGGTTATATTGCGATAGGTTTGTTTGTGTAAAATCATGTAAATCGTGTGCTTATTCGAACCCTTTAACGATCCAGATAAATGTCTCATGCGTAATTATGATAAATTTTGTTGATCGGTACCCAAAATTTGTTTCAGGTGTCTTCAAAATTTGTGTGGGCGATCCTTTTGGAAATTAAGCAATTTGATCGGGGCCATTATTTGCTGTAGAATTTGGAATTTAAAGTCGACATTGAAATCATTTTTGTTGTGCCTGGATTCAAATGTGTCCCCAGAGATTACGTAAGTAAATCACTTTTGTTATTTCATACTTCTCCTACCTTTTCCTCCCGAATAGATTTAAAACCGACGCGCCTTTTTTGCTCACGTTTAATTATCATAAAGCGGTAAAGCCCCATTATACCGACTATTGTGGTACTTCTATTGAGTTTCTTATACCCTATAACTGTGCTATGATCTGTAGTCTATTTACATCTGTGACAATGATGTGTACCTAGTATACAAAATTAGGTTAATTTCTACCTACGTTTTACGCCCGAATGCAACAGCTTGTGACGTGCCAAATCTTCCTTTCGAAAGAAAGTTTTATCACATTCGTCACATTCCATTGGTTTGGCCCCTTCATGTACAAATTTGACGTGAGTCGTAAGACGCGTTCTGCGATTAAATGCTTTATTGCAGTACTGACAAGTGAAGGCATTTTCTCCAGTATGATGAAAAACGTGCGCACGTAACTGCGTTGCTTGGATGAACGCCTTTCCACAAAAGTGGCAGGTATGCGGTTTATCGCCCGTATGAGTACGAACATGTCTGTTTAAAGTTTCTTTAGCAGCAAATTTATTCGGACACTAAAATAAGAAGGACGATTAGTAACTTTGTCTCTGATGAAAAAAATATACCTTTGGACATTGGTAAGGTTTTTCTCCTGTATGCATCCTTCTGTGTTTTTTCAGTGCACCACCTGATGGGAAGCATTTCGGACACAAATCGCATCCGTAGGGTTTCTCACCTAAAAATTAAATTCACTTCATTAAAACAAGCAAGTTCAATGTAAAATTATACTTCTATACAATAGCCATGGAAAATTACAAAATTTTGAGAAGATTCTCAGAAAATTCTAAAATCACAATAGGATTTTTATACCTTTTATGCTTATATAATTAAAGAATGTTGCGAAAGACCCTTGTATTTAATTATTAAAAATTGCTATGTGATCAATCTACCCAAATCCATACGCCGCGCAGCATACGAGGTCAGGCTTTTAAATAACGAGACTGCTTATGAAAAAGTTATATTGTAAAAATTATACTATAATCGAATGCTCCCCTTCAATATAATCCCCTCCCCCGCTACGGTTTTGTCACTGCTCAAAGCAATGCTGGAAGTCTTCTTTTGTAAGAGCGTTTAGGAGCTCTGCCGATTTTCGTTTCACCTCTTCCATCGACTCGAACTGGGCGTGGAACTGGGTTCCTTTTAAGACAGACTTGATATTGGAAACAGGAAAAAATCACAGGGTGCTAAATCGAGCGAGTACAGTGCGTGTTCGAACACCGGAGTGCCTCTAATGGCTAAATAACGCTTCACAGACAGCGCATTATGGGCAGGTGCGTTGTCCTGGTGCAACATCCACGACTTGTTTTCCATAACTCTGACCGATTCCTACGAACTCGCTCTCGAAGTGTCACGAGTTTTCGTACTGAAATAGTTGCCTCTTTCAGTTAGCCAACGCTGCGTTTGTTTCCCCCACTCCCCTCTTAACGCCTTCTGCGAGCGCAGTCTCGTTATTCAATAGCCAGACCTTGTATGTCATTTGGATCGTTGTAACTGATAAATGCAACAACCATGAAACACAGCAATTAGATCCTTTTGCCAAATACCCAGGGCCGGACTAGTTTGTAAATTCCTACCGGGAAATACTTTTAAAAGGGCCCCCTATAAGGATTTTTTTTTCGGGAAATCGTGTAGGAGGCTACTGTTACCATGCAGTTAGCTGGCAAACGAAACGATACAGATGCACATAACTGATAAAATAAAAAAATTAATTATAAAGATTCTGTTTTCACGAGTTTTTAGTCTAAGTAGCCATGGGCTATGTTTTTCTTTTATCATAGTCCATGGCATTTATGTCTCTAAAACTTTTATTTGAAGTATTTTTGCGTAAAATAATTAGGAAACGTTTGCGCAAAAAAAAAGTAATTTCCCATGTTAAACGCCTATGTTCCACTTTTCGATTTACACCCTGTACATGTTTTATTACACAAGTTTCTATTAAAACTAATTGTACGGTTGGTACCTTTCTGATTTCAAAATTATTTAGAAAAATCAAATGGGGGCTAAGTGAACCCCCAGTCCTCCAAGAATTGAACTTTTGTATGTTGAGACGACGGTAATGCGCGATTAGATTGTGTTTAATTGCACTTTTGTGTCTTTTTGGTTTGTGAGATATTTGTTGGGGCTCAGTGAACGCTTAACCAAGAGTAGTGGAGCCCAATAGGGTATTTTGGAATTTACTGGAGCGCGTCAAATTAAAGTAAAGTGAGTTGACTACGTGTTGAAGTGTACATTTTAATAATCTGACCATTTAAGCGTGACGTGGGGGGGAGTGTGAAGGCCACAAACAAACAAAAAAACGTTACCTCTACGTCCTCGAGTGCGTTGGAATTTTTTTCTTTCAAAGGAAATTATTCAAGAATAACAAAGGTAATATAATCTGCCGATTTCCAAACGCCAAAGTGAAACAAAACATCAATAAAGTTCAGTGTGTTCAGCAGTTGAAGCATGTCAGTTGACTGATATCATAGGCGGTCGTGTAATAAATTAGGGTGCGTTTATGTTGGAGCCGCGATAAGTAATAAGAGCGTCGATACTAGCGCAGCGAATAAAAGTGTGTATGCGCACATCTGACTTTTACAATATACGATATGCTTGTCTTTACTACAAGAATCTTTGGTTAAAATGTCAAAAAAATATCTACATCAGAAAGATGGCATGGCGCAGTCTGCGCATATTATTCGTCAAGTTTTGAGTATACACAGAGGTGCTAAGCGTTCACTTAGCCGTTATTTAATTTTTCTAAATATCTCCGAAACAGATGGACAGAGATTGTGAGAGTGGAAGCACAATAGAAGTGCCTACTATGCAGTGCCGTTCCAGTGTGAAGGAGTTCAATTTTTATTTTTTGGGCAAGGTTTACATATATTAGTGTATTACCCTGCAAGGATTACTTATAGGTAAAGGTCCTACCTAACACTATTTTATCATGCCATAAAATTATTCGAAAGTTTACGTGTAACACAAAAGAAACATTGATCAATTCTTGTTTTGAAAAGTAGAGGAATGATTTAAATCTCACCGTAAATCCTTTTTCTTTAATACCTTTTCAAAATAATATCCGGATTAGTGAGTAATCCGTGTAACCAATGCCCAGATAATCGAGTTTCTATTGTAATAATAGCCATTTACTTATTAATAACAATATTAAGCATTGAATTAGGGCCCTCGGGAAATCTCCAGGTATCCCTCCTGTCCAGTCCGGCCCTGCAAATACCTACTAGTAATGTGCATTCCACATTAATGTAAATTAATCATTCACTGTCCACTGGTCAACTGCATTGTTTAGATCTGGGGGGGTTTGATAAACATTGAGCTTAATTTAGATAGTATTGGGGGAAGTTACGATTTTATTCTAGATTTAAGGTGGTTGTAATTGCTTTTGAATTTTGTCACGTGAGTTATTTGGAGTCTTGTGTAACTTAGGCAAGCCAAGTGTGTTATTTAAAAATTGTTTATGAAAATAAATGCAATGAAATTTCGTTTGTAAATTGGTTTTGTGGCCTTTTGAATTAATTTTTTAGTTTAATGGTAAAGTTCTATGTAACGTTTCAGTATTTTGTATTTTTGTGTGGATCATAATACGCGGCCAGGTAGTTCATATGGCAACATACAGAGTATCTATTTTTCAAGTGCCACTGTGAGGATCTCACTTATATTAAGAAATAGAAAGTCGGTTTAATAAGTTGCGAATTTCCGTACTGAACAATCAATCTGAAAAGAAATTTAAAATATCTTGATAGTTTTGAAAATATCGCAAAAAAAACGAAATTTTCTGATTTTTGTTTTTAATTTTTTCATGGTAAACTAATCGTACTAATAATCTCTAACCGGGCACTTTTTATAAAGGATTTGAAGTTGGCATCCTGTTTATAATAATTTGCAAGATGACGGAGACACACGTGGAACTTTATTTTTTCTTATGGATGCCATTACTTACGGGGATACTTACATGGAAGAACAGGGTTGCAATAACAGTGAATGTAGTCCCATTTCCGTATTCCGTTTATTTACATTTTTATATTTATTTGGTTTTGCTATTACGTGGAAATAAACGTCATTATTATTATTTTGGATTTTGACATTTCGAGATTACGTCTTTTTTTTCTTTACTATCTAAATCTCGATTGAAATGCACATAATCACAAACCTGTATGAGTTCTTGTATGGACAATCAGCATAGCAGAACCTCTAAATTCTTTACCACAAAATTCGCAGGCAAGCAATTTCTTCTTTTTGGGTTCACCGGCATGCGCTCTTAAATGATCCCTCAAATTATCTTTCCGCGAGAAACTTTTTTGACACACCTAAAATAGAGCTCCATTAACGTAAATTCAAACAGGGTTGGCTACTGAATCTAAATCTGTAATTAAAAAAACCTCGAAAAAAACCAAACAACAATGAATTTTGTCAGATAAAAACAAAAATGTGACTTTCTTATATGGGACACCCTATATATTTTTACACCATATGAGAGGTTAATTAAATTCTCTACAAAAGTTCTCATAGTCAAAATAACCAAGATTTTTTCACTATATTCATTTCGATCTAGACATCCATGAAAATGATAAAATAACATTGTTTCTTGTAGAATCTGGCTTCTAACTTTGAAGTATTTTGGCTATGATGCATTAAGAACTTTTGTAGAGAATTTAATAAACAAAGGGCAACAATATACACGGTGTTCCATATAAAAATCACATTTTTACAATTATCTAAAAAGTGCGATGTTTTGTTTTTTTAATTACAGATTTGGATTCAGTAGAAAAAAATAATCATTTCCATAATTTAACGGTCTCCACAACTCAGAAAGTTAGCAATAGTGTCGAATTAATTGAAAACAGACTGTATATACCTGACATTCAAAGTTATTTCGTGGTGTTCCACCGCACCCCGTTTGTCCAATGTGACGATCCAAGTGATACTTGCGTGTAAATTCACGATTACATTGTTGGCAGGAAAATAATTTATTCAGCGGATGAATTTGTATGTGTTCTATTAACAACGCTCGTTCGGAGAATACTTTATCACATTCTGGACAAGGCCATAGATCTCCAGAGGTGTGTTCAAAGCAACGATGACGATCCAAGCTGTGGTGCGAAGTAAACAGTTTATCGCACATATCACATGTGATATCGCCAGTCTAAAAAAAAAGAATAAGATACTTTGTATGGGATTAATTTACAAACAGTACAGTATGCGCAGAGTCTATAGGTTCACCGCAACATAAACATAGTTGAAATGCCAGCGGATCATCTTGTTCCTCTTCAACGGCATGACAAACTATTATGTGTCGTTTTAAACTCTAAAATAATTAATGAAATCAACTTGCTGAGAACCGATAACTTACCGCGGCGGTTTTAAACGTTCGATCGCAAAGTGTGCAAATGTTAACCGTATCAACTTTTTTATCTGTATATGTATCAACAACTTGGGTCGAAAGATCCACTTCACACGTTTCGTTCTCCATGAGAGTTTCATCTTCTTCTTCAACGTCTGTCATCTCTTCACCTTTCGGCAAATCCCTAGAAGCAATGGAAGAGTGCTCTTGTAAAGAGTTATCATCCAAATACTCTTCTTCCAAAAACTCATCATCTTCATCGATCATCTGACTTTCATCTAAATCATCATCTTGTACTACCCTGTAGAGTTGATGTAATTATAGTTATGAGATACGCGTTGTTGATAAACTTAACTGTTCTGTATGTTCCACACATTCGATAGTATTTATTTCTAAATTTCCATCCGAATTACCCACCAACTGGAAACTGTGAGACAAGATGTTAACGTGGTCGTTTATAGTCATGTTCTTCAAAATAGTAGTCTTCACATCGTCCACGTCAGAATCCTCTTCCTCGCTTGGATTCATGTTTTCTCTAATGCAGAAGGTTGTAAATGTTAACCTGAAATATTTGTTCATTACATTTTAATTGAATTACAAATGGAGCCACTAGTTAATTAATCTTTTTCCCAAGAAAGCCTTACCATATCAATCTTATGATTTAATTGCTCCGAGGTTCATACCTTACATTTTTGTAAATGGACCTATCTACTTTGACTTAAATGCACGTGAAATATTTTCCTTTCCCTCATGAGTGATGAGGCCCAATTCAATACTGGCAGATCCTTAAATTAAGGACATTGGGGCATTACATATGAAGAATTCAAATTTGAGACATGGTATGGCAGATCCCCACATAGGGCAAGCTTCATGGTAAAAAGAAGTAGTTCCCTTGGTTGTTCCAAATGATTTTTCTTTTGAGGTCTTTCAAGTGACAAACTGAGAATTTGTTTTTTTTAATATGTTTTTATGTAACCAGTGACAAATTTTCAATGAAATTACATTGAGTGTTTGAAAAAGAACTTTACAACAGTCCCGAATTGTAATGGCATTCAACACTTTCATAATGACCACTTTCGAGGTCAATGATGCCCCAATTACATGACCCCCACGGGAGCAAGAATTTACGTTGCTACTGAGCAGGTTACACCTGCACTGCTACATTGAGTTTGGAAAGAAATTGTGTACGATTCCAAGTGGTGGAGCATCCTTCAATGTCCTTTTTGAATTGTGAATTGTAGTCATATATTAAAATTTAACATACCACTTTTTAGCGCTTTTTTGCAAATTTATTTATAAAAAGGTAACTTTTAATCTCACTTTGGCCGTCTGGCTGGCAGTAAATACAGGCCCATAGAAAGACGATGAGTGTTAGTACATGTAGCTACGGGGGCCGTGTTATTAACAACTTTAGAGACCGGGCTACATGATGTGGAGTCGGCGACATCTGGGCGCCATCCCCGAGCGTGTTGTAAACTGTGTAACATGGAGATTTTTCAGTTTTTTCCTATCTTCGTCTACAGTTTTGATCCAATTGTTTCAAATTGGTGTCTTCGGAAAGATCTTTTAAACCCGCACAATTCCTGCGTGACGGAATTTTGTTTTTTTCCTAGGTGCGAAATAATTGCAAGGCGCGTGTCTTCGAGGGGTAGTCGACTTTGGGCGCCCAAAAGTTTCTTGGAATCGCAGTCTCTCTTTCTTGTGTCGCCAAAGAAGCTCAAGCTATAAGAAGTGGCCCAAAAATTAAGTACCTACCTACTATTATACCTTGGGTTGATAAGGTGTGCCAGACGGCCTTCAAATTTTGCTGTCTTAAGAGGGGCCAGCAAAGGGTCAACTATGGGGTATCGTTGTACTCCAAATTCGACGTACATTCCGAAAATGTAGAAAAAATAGGGGGTCCCTATTTAAAATAACAAAGTTGATGGCTACTTCCGGTATTTATTTCCGGAAGTGGCGCCATCTTGAAAATACTTTAGTTCAATTCATCATGTGCCAAAACCCTTAAAGAACTTATCAGTTTGTTTTCATTTTCAAAGGTTTTCCATATCTTTCTAACTGACGCTCGTCAAAAATGACCCTGTATAACCGGGTAACTCGGAGAATAGCTGGGCACACCAGTTTTGTGGGCCCGGTAAAACAACTATTTTTAATTTTTAAACCTTTTTACTATCCTAGAAACCTTTACTCAATTTAATTTTAGCACACTCCTTCATTTAAAAATAAAACTGAAAAGTATTAAAAAAATACAGTGAACATTAATATACAGGGTGACAGTGTCCACATAGTTTAAAGAGGAATATAAAAATTTTATAAATTCAAAAAGTGCACACTCAAAAACCTAGGCTCCAATTTTTGAATTTTTCATCTTCGACATGACATATTTTGCAGCCTCTGTTACACCTTGTAAATATTAAGAAGCGTACCTTGCAATTTTCTTGTAACAAAGGTAACTTTCTATTCTATTCTATTCTCAGGGGAGCCCGACCGGGCAGCACTTAGGCACATCAGAGGCCCATTGTGCCTACCCCCTTTCTTCGCAACTGAGTTCAGAGCCCGTTCCTCTCAATGAAGGATAGGATCCTGTTTAGCCTAAGTAACTACTACTAACTAAGGTAACTTTACTTTTCGCTATGGATTGTGTACCTAAATGGTGCAATTAAGAAAATACGATTTCGAGTCTGCTATATGTGACCATATTTACCTACCTAATATACCAACATTCGTTTCTTTGTTATTCGAAGAAATAAAGAGACGGTTAGACAAATCTTTTAGTGTAAACAAAGAACTAAGGGCGCTACCTATAACCTATATAATATAGAATTGCCTGATCCCTATACTCGTAATGTTGCTCACGTTAAGTCATATCCCCACCCTAATATGGCGTCACCAACGAACAAGTAGTAAACGTTTTTGCATTAGTGTCATAACTGTGTGTATAATAGTTTGTTATATTTTAACTAAAATACCTGGACACTGAGGTACAGTATTGGACTGTAATAACAATTTGGGGTAGTATTCACATTTTACTTTAAATCATACAGGATCATAGAACGTTTTGCAAACGTCAATTGTCAGTGGGATCTAACATGTTGGACGAGTCAGCTGTGCTATATACAGAAGCTATAGGTCCGCAAGTGACGTCACTACACGCGGCGAAAAAATTCCGTTATCAGGCAATCCTATATTATATAGGATCCTTGACAAAGAACCACAATTGTCATTTGTTTTGAAGTTATTAGCACCGGCTAAACGTGGGATGCGAAAAAATCCGACTTCGACGAAACTTGATGTCTGAATATCTTTGAACATGAAGATAACAAAATTGAAATTAGTTTTTGAAAAAGTTTCAAAATCCACTCGTAGATGTTGCCGCGTAACACAACTGTAAATGATGAGTAACGTGGAAATGTAGACCATAGCACCTATCAATTAGCGAAAACCGAAGTCTCTAGGTGGTCCCAGGAGCCGAGATCTCGATGGAACAGACAGACGACCGAAAATCGACCACATATAAGCGTTACCTCAAATTCGTTGTTATACTAAACATGCAAATTACTGAACTTTTGGGGGCATTGCTCTCAAACAAAACATTTTGGACCAATCAAGAAATGCTTATTTTGTCCCATCTATCACCCAATTTTTTTTACATAGTTAATTGTTACACTCTGTAAATTGTTTTATAGACATATGGAAATTGGAATAATGAAATACTTTCGAAATGTTTAATTCAGGTCACTGGAAGAGCGGAATTCAATTTCAAGCTCTTCCCGAAACAGTTGAAAACAATTTAATAACTACATACAAGCAAAGAGTACATGGGTACTCTTTGATAGTAAGGCACCATAATGTTAGAGGTCGTGTTCGAGATTATGTTTTACTAATAAATTATTTTTCTCAAATAATTTGAATAGGTACCTGACAACTGCCTCTCACTGAAACCTCAGGCTGTCATACTATGCTACAAAAAAAATTAGCACAAAATAAAGAAGGTGAAGGAGCCGCCCATCCTTCATCTTCAAAGCCTAGCAGCAGCAGTCCCAATAAAGGTCGCTACCTCTAAAGACAGTGGCTCCCAAACGTCCACCTAGGGAGGTAAAGAAAATGTCTTCACAATAGGCAAGAAATTCGGCTTCGTAAGTTGAACTTATAGCACTAACAAAGAAAAATATTGTGTAATGAAAATCCCTTTCAAATTAGTCATTTGATTCCTCATCCCATTTAAAAATTTGAGGGAGTTTGGAACCTATGGCTACCACGCGTTTTTTTAATGGACAGTACGTTATTTTAATACTGACCTATGTTTCATTATCTATGTCTACAATTTAAAAGATTAATCTGGTAATTCAACCTCCCTCCTACTGAAGGGTACTCCACATCCTCCAATCAACCAGAAGCATGACCAAGCAATATAAAAAATTGCCAAAAATAAATAAAACCCTATTTCAACGATCGCCGTTATATCTTGGACCAAAATTGTATAATGTTTTACCGAGTAATTTTAAAAATGTAAGATTAACAAAAAATCTATTCAAAAATATTCAAAAGTGGATGATGACTCAAACGACACTTCTGGACAGTATATTAATAATTCTTGCATAACTAAGTCACGTTTGCTGAAAATAGAACAAAAATGATTAAAAAAAAAAAAAAAAAAAAAAAAAACTAAAGCTACACTTTAACTCAGGGCTGTATGCTTAGTGCATAGAGAATCCCTTTCCCTATTAAATTTCTTTTTGATGTTAAAAAAAAAAAAAAAAAAAAAAAAAAAAATTCACTTTCTTTCTTCTCTTTTCTACTCTTGTTTTTTCCTGTAGATATCTTAAAAAGAAGATTTTTGTTTTTTTTTTTTGTTTTTTTTTGTTTTACTCTCATGTAGTGAATGCTCATGTACTTATATCATTTTGTATGGGAATAAAGTCAATTATTATTATTATTATTATTATTATCAGGACATACTCCGTTATTTTTCTTTTTTATACACTGCGTCCAAGATAAGGATGTGTAACATGGGGATCATTCAAACCACAGAAGATACGACGAAGGTCAAATTACAGAAGAGATGCGCAATTAAAGAGTTATTATCATGCTTTAAAGAAAACCAGAAAATTCCGATTACTTATTCCGATGATACACCAGAAAAACTAAAATTTGCAGATTTCGTTTTTATTTTTTTCTGATGTTATCTGAACGAATACAGACAAATAACACTTTCTCATTGCCACTGTTTGAACTCTACAAGATACTGTTAAGGGATTTTCAATACAACGTTTCGTTTCGGAGAAATCACCATCAACTTTATTTTTTTACATGGCTCGAAAAAAAAAATAGACATTGTATTGAGTAACAGTGTTTATTACGAATACGACATTGCACACACAAAAAAACCAAAGTTGGAAACTGTTGGTTTCAACAGGATGGTGCACCTGCGCACAATGCCCTAATCGTGTGACAATACGTGTTGGGGCATGTTTCCATTTTTCAGATAGGTATTTCCAAACAATTAGGATGTTGTGCGCTGGTGCCCCATCCTGCTGAAACCAACTGTTGCCAACTTGTGTTATTGTTGTGCCGTACATCGTTGTATTAATACAAAAAAATACGACTCAACGCAGTATGTATTTTTTTTACTGGAAAATCTCTGCAGAGTTCAAAAACTGGTATTGAGAAAGTGTGTATTTTATGTGCCTCTGTGTGTCCCCAGATGGTTTAGATTCACAATTGGGCCAGATCGGAATCATATATCTGTCAATCATGAGGGTACGAAATCGAGGGGGAAAATCTAATTACTATTTCAAAAAATTCATTGTTGTTGTCAGGTAAACTCCTGACTTGTTCCGACTACTTTTAATGGTCATTGCGATTACCTTTGTTCATAGTATAACATATAGAAAATGCCCTCTGGCGCCTTTATTTTGAACCCAGGCAAAAAGTGTATAAGACTTTTTTGTAGACCTGATCAAGACCATAGAGTAAATAATTACTCTACGTCAAGACACATACCTATTCTTTGTAATTAACATTTTCCACTCTGATGCTTACTTTTCGAGAAAAATGGAAATTTTGAAAAATAAAATAGTTTAAACTTTTCAAATCAAAAATTCTCAAAAACAAAGAAAGCCACAAAAAAACTATAATGAACCTTTCTGTACAGTTTTTTAAGCCACATTGGCTACATACAGCCGTTATTTACTGAGATAGAAGGTGATATTTATTAAGTAGACGGGGATTCACGTGTATTGGTTTTTCCTGTCTCCTTTAAATGACAATATCTCTTCTGAAGGACGCCTAACTTTATGCAACCAAAATAACTTCGTAAAACATCCTTACAGATCTTAGCTGACATTAATTAAATAGAATATTGTTGCCTTGGTTTCCATACTTTAATTTTCGTTCGTGTCCTATGTCTACTTCTTAATAAATAGCACTTGATGTATACTATATTCCATACATATGGAATATCTCGTGGAATATGGAAATTGTGGAATAGAATAAATCAGTATTTCCTAAACTATACCTACTATGGGTTGCGAGCGAATATTGAATGGGCCATAATGGGCGATTCGCCACTGTATAAGACATTTCGAGTTTTAAATAATGTTTTCTAGTAAAAGAAAAGTGAAGAAATTTGCAGATACTTATAGGTTTATTACAAAACCTTGAAACTACGAAAATACTCAAAAGTCTTTTCTAAACAGTCACTGCGCAAGTATTTGGCATGCTCTAAACAAACAAGCCCTTTCTGACGTGGAAACTGTAATCTTTTCGGACCCACCTCTGACGTTTCTCAGAGGTACTTTTCTCCACTTTAATTCAGGATACACGGCTAACAACTGTCTTACACAACGTAATACTGCATAGCATTGTCATATGTAACATTTACGAAATGTACATGGACAAACACCAGTTCCTGAGCCGAAATAACCTACTGATTATAGAAAACTACTTACTGCGGCCTGACAGTCTACGCGCAACCTTTCGAGGGTGAGGTTATTACATAAAAAGCGAATAGGTGGGTCCCACTCAACTTTAGGAACCACTGGAATAACTATTATGAAATCAATCATTTTTGGATTTTTGGAAAACATCTATTTTGTCAAGTTAGGGGGGTGCTGCATTTTTGTTGGGACACAGCGCATTTTAAACACTCCCCTACACGACTACACACAGGGCCCGTGATTATGTTGGAGAACACAAGTCTGTAGTTACATTTGTTACTGTAGTTACTGCTGGAGTTCGTTTGAATGCCAGGACCAGTGAAGCGTTCAGAACCATCGGTAACTGACATCAAACCTTTCTTGCGATAATAGTGACTGATCAACACTTGAGAATTGAGGCGAAATCTCTTCTGAACAAGAGGCTCAAGTTTAATAGCTGTGATCTCGTCCCATTTTAACTTCGACACATAAGTACAGAAATGTTGCCACCGGAGCAATATAAGCATACTTCAAGATTCTATATTTCAAGTATGAAAATTGTAGGAACCTGTTCTCAGATACATTTTGGCTAGCTGAATACAATAAATCTCGTAATGTTTAAGATAGATATTTACCCAATCGTGAATCCAACCCATCCCTTTATTAAATTATTAAGCTACATGTACCTAAGACCAAGAGAATGGATAAGGAATTATCCATTATTTCTTAATTGTCACCTGGAACTGTTCATCCTCATTCACGTGTATTGCTTTTATTGTCAAATCGATTTGTTAAAACTTAACCTAAAAATGAAAATAGAGAGGTATTTATAGGACCAAAACTCGTGGCAATTGCGTAAATAATACAAAACATCCCGAACCCAAAGTGAATAAGATTGCACAAAAAATGTTAAACGCTGATTTCGTTTCGTCTTTGAATCGGTACAATGAAATGGTAGTGGTGGAATACCAGTTGCTTATCGCCGAATACGAATTGGCTTCGATTGTACCGTAATTTGGAATATATTTTAAAGGTCAAATAAAAAAATATAATATCTAAGAATTGGGAAAATCGATTACCTTCTACATTATATCATTATAATACATTCATAGCGTACAAATTGGGTAATAATATAAAATCTGTTACTTACGCCCCTAAAATGTTCTCAACCGTTTCATCACGCGTATGCACAAAATGGTGGATGGACTAGTTTCAGGCGCAATTAAAACCGTCGACGCACGCGCAACTTTCGTCACGTGATTGTAACCTCGCAACAAAAATGAAAACAGCAATTTAAACATCGAAAATATCGACTCAATAATGAGTTATCCCTAGTTTACACGTTTTCTAATAACGAGAATGTCATCCGAAATTGATATTCAAGTTATACAAAACACTCAAGACGTATTGGGGAAGTACATAAAAAAACCGGCGTTAACCGAAAAGTTACTGCGAAAGCCTCCTTTCAGATTTTTACACGATGTCATAACAAACGTTGTTAGAGAGACGGGATTTTTAAAAGGGCTCTACAGCGAACGAGAGTTGGTCTCCGAAAATGTCAAGGAGAAGGACGACAAGATCGCCTTCTTGAATAAAGTTATTGAGGCTACAAGTAAGCATTGCATATTGTCACCGATTGACCTATTTTTGCACCTGATTGGTGAATCATCGCCATCAAAATGAATCATTTTGTAGGTAAGGTTGCACTGCACCCCCACTTATCAATTATGATCCACTCCACTTAAGTCGGCAGTAGGTATTTATCATTTGGTGGCACTCAGTGCACCCCAAAGTGTGTGATGCACTTGGACGGCATCTCCCAAGAGGCAGTACATAGGTACAGGGTGTGGCAAAATAATCAGTACAGTTTTGAAGGGCGACATCCACTGTAGTGGGTGGGGAACGTGTTCAGTCACTCAGTCCATCATCATTCTTTCATCACTCAGTAGACCTTCCACGTTACGATCCCGTTCTGCAATGCAACGTTATTGCGAGTTGAGTTTGTGCATTACTGGTTCGACAAGAAGACCTAGGGGTATAGTAAGACCGAAAACGTGAGAATTGGAAATTTTGCAGTGGGTGGAAGGATTGGAGGCCATTCAACAGAATAAGCGACATGTTACGGACCCGCCAATCAGGACTGTGGGGACAGGAGCAGCACCAACTTGCTAGGCGTCCAAACTATGCAGATACATGCACGGCTGAGGAATAGAGCGGTCGAGAGGAAGCCCCTTTTGCGAGTTCTGGGAGCGAGGGACCTCAGATGGGTGGTCCATGTCTCGTGGCGATGTGGTTGCGTGGGCCATTGGAGGAGAATTGTGCCCTGTACCACAGGGCTGCATCTTTTGTTCGAGGTGCAGACTCCTGAGCGATTATTAGTAGAGTGTCTGTGCTACGGGGGACTCCGGAGCCTCGGGGGATCAGGGTACACTTTCCATTTGGAAGTTTGGTCATACAGTAAAAGAACATAAACTGGGGTCCAATTAGTCATAGTGTTTGTCAAAGATGTTTCAATTAATAGGCGCCAAAGCGCAGATGAAATTGCCTACATCAGTACACACTTCCTGAGAACATCATCATTCTGATGTGATCTTTTAACACTTAAGTGAAGAAATGGGGTGTATAAAGGGACCGAATCAAGCAGAATAAATCCACTTTTTCATAACGTGCCTTTTTTAATAGCACTTCAAGCTGCGCTGTTTGTTTTGCCATACCATGTACCTATATAATTTTACTGCAAAAAATAATTAATAGAAAGGGCCTCTGAAAGTGCATCATACATGCAATTTCAAGGTTGTCGTTAATGAAAGCATATTCTGATCAGCAAATTACTTGCATCTGTTATCCCTGACATTATAGCTTACTGAAATAGTTTAAATGGTCCTGTGGGCCAAAGGATCAGGTTTATGCCAAGGAGTAAATTGCATGAAAAATGTTCCTAATTTACTTAATTTTATTGTTAATGGAATTATGCCCGGTTTCGCAAACTGTGATTAAGGTTAATCAGTGATTAAAAATATTAGAATGGGAAACAAATGAGCGTATAATCAAAGGTGGCTAACATTCTAATATTTTTAATCATTGATTAACCTTAATCGTTTGTGAAACCGGGCATGTCCCTTAAATGCAGTTAATATCCATTTGATGTGAATATGTAGGTAGTATACAAAATATAGATACTTAATAATAATAATAATAATAATAATAATAATGCCTTTATTACGAAATTATATAATGTAAATAAAATTAAAACGAAAATAATCTAGGCGGAGTTCAACACGTTGACCTGGACGTACAACTGTTGCTCTACCACTCAACCTAGATACAGGTAAATACAGGTTGAAAGTAACATGTAGTAATGTTCAACATAAAAAGAAAAAAACAATGTAATTAATTAAAACTTATACAGCAGCACAAAACAATACAATGCATATCTTATTAACACAAGTATACAAACTTTCCAAAAAAGCTAAATCTTCAAATAGTTAGATTCCTCTATTCTATCATAATATGTGTACTCATCCAATGGTTTTTAATGTGCAATTGAATATCGCACCTGCAACAAATTTTGCTATATAACATTTAAATTCCCCCATTGGTGATTTTAGCAATCAATTTGTACTGGCGGTAGGAAGATGGAAAGTGTTATGCTTTCTTACTACTGCCAGGTTTGGACAAATAGAACCCCAAGGTCGTTGATTTTTTCGTCTCGTCCCAATACCATCGACCTTATCTTATAATTGTATTCAATTGGAATCATTTTCTTAAGCTAGCATTACACTTGTCAATTTCTTCATGAATTAATTCATGAAGTTACTTCATGAAGAAATTGTATAATGTAATACACCAACTTTGACGTCCAATGTGAATTTCTTCACGAAATTAAAACATGTTCTATTTTTCGCCAATTTTACCGTGAAGTTCAGTGCTACCAACCAACAAATTTTTGTTTATATCAGAGAGAGTGAGGTTATGACTATATGTCACGAGAAGAGTAGTTGTGGAAAGGTAAGCAAATAAATGATTACAAAACATTTTACAACTGTAACCTATTTTTTTTATTGGGATGGCACCACTGCTCCAATGACAGATTTGTCAAAAACTTCACCAATTTATTCACAGATGTAAAAACCAAACCCTGTCGGGAAGAAATTGACGACAATAAATTCGTGAATTAATTCATGAATAAATTGACAAGTGTAATGCTAGCTTTAGTGAATGAAATGACTGCGTTTTGCAATGCTGAGCTATAGTTTGTTAATCTCTAAATCATCTGCCAACTTCAAATATGCAAAGTGGATCATTTGGAAACCGAACTTGCTTCTGTTTTAATTCGTGTCTCCGCAACTATAGTTGATATGTCTGCTTCTTGTGTTTGAAATCAAAAGTATCCAGCATATGAATCCAGTGATTCATTAGAAGTGATGACAGTTTGAATTTCTCGCAAATGAAAAAAATTATGAAGTTGGTACTGACTGATGATCATTTATTTAATTGCAGTGGTGTATCATCATACTTTCAGTAAATCGTTTACTTATTTATAATATACAAATACTGCTTCTGTTTTACCACAAATTATAAACTAACACTAGACACAGTCACGTTTCTTACATATTGTAATGCATCAACTCTAAAAATAGTTCAAAATGGAAAAAGTTATAAACCGCAAATGTCACACAACAATTAACGGCGACACTGGTTTCTTAAATGACAGTCATGACAGAACAAAATTACTATCGAAATTCAAACCGTCAATTTAATAATGCAAAAAACACTAAAACCTTAAGCTCAATTTACATTATACTTTTTTCGTCTAGAAACTTTGACTAGAACTTGTGCTAGATTCGACACTATACTAGAAATTTAAATTTACCGCTTTTTGATGCTTTGACTTGTTGTGTTTCAATGGCAGTGCTGCCAATTTCGGAAAACAAATCTCAATATTGTACATTTTGAGGTTAATTTAAATTACTAGGAAATAAACATGAACAACAAGCAAAAGAAACTCATTTTTGCTATGTACATGTACCTAATTCAAGAGACTTATATTTGAGGTTATGTTCAAGAGTATAAAAATAAAGTTGTTGGTAGCACGGAATTTGTTCTAATTTGGTGCTAGTGCGCAAGTCACAAGTATGAAAGTTGGATGGAAAATGGGTCTGGACCTAGTTTCAGATCTAGTTTCTAGATTAGAAACTTGGACGGAATTTTCTGATTTACATTGTCAAAATTTTAACAAGTTCATCTAGTACAAGTTCTAGTCAAAGTTTCTAGACGAAAAAAGTATAATGTAAATTGAGCTTTACGCGCGAAATTCAAGCGATGATCACTTCTAATGAATCACCCGGTACAAGTTAACCTAAATTGATCTCTGTACAAAGAATTTAAACAATGGAATAAATTATACAAACAAAAATTAAATTATCTCACAAATCAGAACGATAATATAATTTTTTCACTACTAGCGTCTGATGACATGGTTATTAACCTTTTTTCCACTTGTAAAGTAGGCTTTCTCGGCATTTGTTCAAAGTGGTTAATAATTTTTTATTATTAACTAGTAGTCAATAATGAAAACTGTCATGCTGTCACTTTTAGAAAACACAACCTGAAATTTCGCTCAATGAACGTTTAGACAAGTTCTCTAAAACGAATAATTGCCACCATTCGCAATTTCCAGAGAAATTTACATACCTAAAATTATCACATTTTGAAAAAATTCGAACGAAATTACTCTTTGAAAAATCTCAATGACAGAACAAAATACGGCCTGTTTGACTTGTACTTCACGTACTTGATTGACATGTTAAATTAAGAAACAAACAATTCTGTCCAACCGTTAACTCTCTTATCAATATAATATGTTAATTTAGAGGATTTAAAGTGCTAGTAGTGAAAAAAATAGTATATATACCACGGTAGAGAAGTCTATTATTGCCTTCGCACCTTACACCCCCCGGCGCAAGCGCCTCGAGATGTAATCTTGGTGCTCAGGCAATAATAGTGGACTTCTCTACCTTGATATATAATGTACTATTATTGTTCTAACCTCTCCAAGAGAAATGGTAGGTACTTAAGTCTGGGCGGATAATCATACAGAAATTGAAATATATTTCCTAAAGTGATTGATAAATGACGGTAGTATAGTAACGGGTTTACCAATAAGAGCGATAGGATTTTAAATTGAAATAAAACACAGTCAATTTGGTCAAATTTAGGTTTGATTGGTTTTATTAGATGCTGTATTTCATGCCATTTATGATTTAAACAAAACATCGTTCAAATGGCCACCGCGGCTCTTTCTGCACTGGCTCATCCGATCGGACCAATTTTCGATGACTCGGTGGATCATATCGGGTGGAATGGCAGCTATGGTCGCTCGAATGTTGGCCTCGAGCTCGTCAAGAGTCTTGGGTTTATTTGCATAAACCTTTGACTTCACATAGCCCCACAAAAAGAAGTCCAATGGTGTTAAATCGCATGATCTTGGCGGCCAATTGTGGGGGCCATTTTGAGAAATCAACTATTCACCAAACTGTTGACGCAATAAGTCCATTGTAGCGTTCGCTGTGTGGCATGTTGTTGGATAATTTCCAAGCGTTGAGGCAACGTGAACTTGTTCATGATGAAATGGTAAGCCTTACTGATGACAACTGACAGCATATGTCAAATGTTTGGCATCCAACATAGCCGCCTTAAACGTTTAAAATCCTATCGTCCCTATTGGTAAACCCTTTACTAGGGGTTATTTGCAATAACCTAAATAAACACTATGTAATATAGGTATAAAAGACTACATATATATGCACATGCACTATGTGCATACTTCAGACTCATTCATAGAAGATACAATGATCGTCAAATTAGAGAAAAGATGCGCAATTAAAGAGCTATCATCATGGTTTAAACAAAACAAAAGAATAATAGAATACCGATAACTCAACTACTATGGATGTAAGCATACAGAATGTTAATTAAAGTTTCTGTAAAATTCACATCTACATTACATTTCTGCCATCAGAAGTAGTAGTTGTAATTTGAAAAACTGAAGATTTTGACATTTTTTTATTGCTAATTTTGAAAAATCCCAGCAGTCCTGGAAACGTTTTCGGGACTTTCAGCAGTCACTCAAAAAATGCCTTAGACAGATTTGATTATAAAATAGAGCACTCACTTAATCTTGAAGGGTTTAAAAGGTATGGATATTTGAATGGATTCTTGCATCTCCACATTTTTTAGAGAAAACATTGACATATGTCAAAAACTGACAGATAGGTACGCAAATCTTAAATGTGTTGAATTCAGAATGAAAGAGCATTTAGAAGGTCATTGAAAAAATAGAAAATGGTATGTTTCTATTTTTAAAAAAACCAAGATGGCAAACGAACACGGGCTACGGGAATCTCCGTGTACGTCTGTTGCTGTTCAATGGTATGCGCTCACTACCGGAATGGGACATTTCATTGCCGCCATTTCTAGACCGCCACTTCATTGCCGTGCCAACTCTTTGCAGACCCATCTCATTGCCGATCCAACTAATTGCCGACAATATCATTGCCGTGGCAACTCATAGCCAGTAAGAATTGGTTACAGAATGAAATTTGAGACCGGCCCTGTTTTAGGTGAAGGCACCTAATCTTAGGTAAAGAATCCAATAGTGATATATGGGAATCAGAGGGTAATACTTGTCTCTCATATAGGAAATTTCAAGGAAATAGCTGGGAAATATGTAGAAAATGGAAGAAACTAGAGAAAGTTTTGGGGAAATACTAGGACATTTTGGGGAAATAGGAGTTGTCAATTCCCCTAAAATAAGTCATGACCAACCCCTCGTAAAAACCTCGAATTCTCGGCCTTTTCTGCTGTGGGTGAAACAAGGGGCAAAATACTTGTATGCAAGGGGCAAATTCTCTCTTTTAAGTCATCCCTCCCGATCTCCAGAGTGTTTCTTGACAAATAAACTGGCTGTATCTAGAGCAATAAAAACTTATCCAGTCCGCTACAATATTAAATACATACATGACGATAACTGCCGATTTCATGTAACTGGCGATGGACTGGCCGGCGATGAAACGGCCGGTGGTGAACCGGTCAGGCGCTGAAACGGCGGCGATGAACCGCCGGCGCTGAAACGTCCCATTCCGCTAAAACAGGACTGCACAACCGGTCTCAAATTTCATTCTATAACCAATTCTTACTGGCTATGAGTTGGCACGGCAATGATATGGACCGCAATTAGTTGGGTCGGCAATGAGATGAGTCTGCAGAGAGTTGCCTCGGCAATGATATGGCGGTCTAGAAATGGCGGCAATGAAATGTCCTAGACCGGCTCACTACATCACTCACAAAACACCTATCCGCAACTAGCTGAAATAAATCAAAATTGAAACTAGGGATCGAACGGGGTCGAACATAATGGATGGCGACAGGCAGCGACAATTGAAATAATAAATTTTAAAACTACTTTTGCCGTTTTTTTTCTTAATAATCCAAATAATCTGATCGTATAAGATTCTTCTGAACTTCAGTTTGTTTTATAACACAGAATTAGATGACAGCACTTTCGGTGGCTGTCCAGAAGGTAGGAACTATTAACTTTTAATAAGTAGAAAACTTTAACAAAAAGCGTCACTGTACTACACAGCTGCGTTTACTCATTGTCTCCAGTATTTAAAGACATACCATTTCCACTAATAATCTTTATGAAATTTCCAATAAATCGCCAATCACAATAAGTTTCAATACCTCCAGTTTCGACAGGAAGCGACGGGTCTCCACTTCTCCTATATGAAACTTGCAATTCTTCGCAACACCTTAGGTATCTCTTAATAGCGATAAAACACGTCGGTTAAATAAATTTCGCCTGATAATAAAACTCCTCGGCGCAAAAAAGCAGATGTAACCCTACTTCGAACACCTTATCTAAATTGAATAATTTACAAATGCGATAAAATTAAAACAAAAAATTATGCATCTAACAAATTTAGGAAAGACAAACACTGAAATACAATAAAACGAACTAACCTTGTGCTTATTTCGTAAGTAATCCTCCTATATATACAGGATGTCGAAACCAAGTGAGTGGTCGTGTTTTGTTCTGTTGTAGTTAAAACAAAGTCACCCGTGTAAACAAAATATTATCAAACACTGGCCAATGCACGGCACTGAAACCGCAGGTCAAACCACCTGACGGAAAGTTGCTCTAATATAAATAGTAATCTGCTCAGATGCGTATAGAATTAGTGCTTACGAACGCTGTAGCTACTCTAATTAGTCTGTTTTGTAGGTTCTTAAATCTTTTTGGTCATTCCTAAGGTCTAACTTCTTAAGGTGGGGGGGGGGGGCACTTCACGAAACCCTGATTAAGGAACAAATGGATTGTATGTTATTTGGATTATTGGATTACTTTTATTATTCCTTAGTTTCTAATGATATTCTACTACCTCTACTACGTTTTTTTTTATATGTTTATAATTTTTTGCACTAAATTATAATGTGAAAAACTTGAAACATTTCACTGCACATTTTCTGGCGGTAAATTAAAAATTATCATTATCACTTTCAAAGTACGGAGGATGGGACGGAACATATTGTTTACGATTTGTGTAATAATAATGATAACAATATTCTTTAGGGTCTCTGCGCTGCTTTTATTATACCTACGTATTTCTTTTAGTGAAATCCATTTTTTGCTTCTCAATAATTGTTATAACATCAGGATGAATTTATGTTCATACACTAAACAATATTATTTTTTAGAGGTAATAACTGGTATGGATTTGGCTGTGAGACCGTCTAAAGTGATTGCTGGCTTTGAGCCTAATGAAACTAACTTGCTACTGCAAGCAATTGGAAGTGCCTTAGATAAGCAACTAAGTAGTTCAGAGTATATTAATCAATTAAATGCGAAAAAGCAGGGAACTAAGGAATCGGAGAAGAAACCTAAACCTAGCAAAAGTAAGGAAAAGAATTTAAAAAATAGTAAAGAAAAGGAAAATACTACAAAAACTAGTAAGTTACCTGTTAACCAAAAAACACCAGATACAAAATTAGGTAATAAAAAATCCTCAAATAAAGGTTCAAAAATACCTGTTGGAACTGAACCGAAACCGGGCAAGATGGTTAAATCAAAAGGAAACTTAGTGTTACCAGATGACAATGGCACTGTGAAGAAAAGCAGTTTGTCTCAGATGAATTTCGAAAATGAATCTCGCCCTATTGTAGAGAATGTACCGTCACTTGCAACCCGCACCGGTACCGATGAAACTACACCAAAATTAACTAACAGTGATGTTGTAGACCATTCCACCGTAGCAATCGAAGAAACTAAAAATGTGAGTGATGAAAACAATCAGTTTACTTTGCCTGAAACAGCTGATGCGTTTGAAATCGGGAATGTAAAGGAAACTGAAGCTTCAATTTTTAAAGAAATAGAGATCAAGCCTAAGCTACCAATAAGTAGGTAAGCGATTACTTTCTGTAGATGATGAACTGATTTTTTTAGGTCGACCTAAAAGTAGCCTTAGACCGCCTAGTGCACGACCGTCCAGCGCTCGACCAGGTGCTCCCAGATTGCAAAGAAGCGATTCCATGTTAATAAAGGAGAAAGAGGTCTTGCCACTTGGAAAAGTTGAAATCATCGACGAAAACTCATCCAATACTTATATTGACGAGGAAGAGACTGTAACAATTGAAGCTACCCCAGAGGTGGAATATCAGGCACCTGTGCTCGACCTTCCTACAGATAAAGGTCATCTAGTGGAACAAATTTTGCAACAAATAAATAGCAGTGATGTAGAACCTATAAAAAGTAATGTAAATGTCGAATGGGAACAAGCAGGTAAGCGAATCGTTCGGCATTGTGGTTTTTATTCCCAAATATAAGAATATGGATCACCCACTTCATTATTTTTTTCCTTAATTACAGGAATGAGAAATAGAAACAGTGCCTTAAAGGAAGTGGACCAATTAAAAGGTGCCATTCAAGACTTAACAAAAATGGTCAATCCACTAGGGAAACTTATCAATTATTTGCACGAAGATATAGAAGCAATGTATAGTGAGTTAGATATGTGGAATAATTCAGTTAGACAAATTATGATTGATGTCGTCAATCAAAAAAAGTATAGGTAATTTGTGCCTCATTCTTATTTTAAATGATTTGATTTCAGAAAGAGGGATGAATCAAACGTGCCATTGCAAATGAAGCTTAATGAAATTGAAGAGAATATAGTTAAACATCAGCAACAAATTATATCAACATATAGTAATATAATGAGAAATGAAGAAAGAATCCAAGATTTGTTAGTGAAATAATGAGTAGCGAACTTAGTAGATTAAACACCAATGTGTGTCTTTTTCAATATTTTGAAACTCACAGTGTCGTTTTTATATTATAAAGTTTGTACATTTCATTTTAAATAAAGTTAATAATTTTTATTACAGTGAATTCGAATATATAGGCTAGATTTGGTGGCATTTTCTGTCTACTACGGTAAGAGTGCTCTAAATTTACTTACGCTAGAAAACTCCTCCTGCTCAAAGCTTATATTTACAGTAGGAATTGTCTCAAATTTGGATATAATGTGCTATGATGGGTCTAAAACAAGAAATATTCAGTAAATTATTTTATTTTACTGAATTCAAGAATTCATTTAATTGCGGTACCTACCACCTATTTCACCTTCCCTGAATTAAATACTTTCCCAATATCACGTGACCAATTCAAACGTTTCAAATTTAAATCATTAACTTATAGATATAAGTCTCCCATGAACTAGAACACTGTACATCCCTTTATGTTTTAAAGAAATAATATTATAATACGCCGTGAAATGCCGGGAATGTCAACTTGAGTTCGCATGATCGGTATTTATTAACTGTTGGCTTATTGACTATCCTATCTCTCTCACATATGTTGAAACACATTTAGTGACTGTAGGCTATATTTATGGAATATTTAATTTATGATCTAAGCATATAGGTACGTGCACCATTTTAATTGTAAGTGTATGTGTGCACCACGGCACGAAAGTTGTTTTCTGGGTCTTGGGAAGTTGCCATATCTTCCTTCGCCGCGGAAAACATCCACTTACCCGCCTTGGTACACAAAGTATTATTTTGTTTAACGGTGTATCACAAGCCCGGCAAAAACAAAAGTACTAGCACGATAACCGTAACGCGGAGGAGTGTGCTGCAAAAATTAGATAAATGAAATGTACTTTATACCAAAGAACAAAAGCTATTGTAAATATGTAAATAAAATTATTTTTGGTTCTCGTCCGATCACCGAAGTTAAGCAACGTCGGGCGTGGTCAGTACTTGATTGAATGGGTGACCGCTTGGGAACACCACGTGCCGTTGTCTCCTTTTTAGCGCATTTCCACAAAAATAAAAAAAATGCGCTATTGTGGTCACTTTGTCCGTCCGTCCGCTCGTTCGTTGAGACGCTACTAGTTCTTTATCTTACAAAATACTCCCCTATAGGCACCCCCTATACGCTCCCAAACGGTGGCAGGTACTATATATAGGAATCACCCTGTATATGGGCATAGCTTTAGCCATTGTTTAAATACTTTAGCCATATAATACGCAATGCCAAAAGTTGAGTCGAATCGATTCAAAATTCACAGTGCCCTTTTCGGATCTCCACCATTTATAAACCGAATTGCAAACCTCGTTATTTATAAAAGTATTTAAATGAAATTACATATTTACATTAGGCTGATTAGACACTTATTGGAATAAAGGAAAATCTAACCCCAGTTTCAAAATTTAGGTTTGCCCATGCGCAGTTCTAACTTTCTTATTTAGAAAAGCATTGAAACGAAACTCTTCTTATAAACTGAAATTGAAGTAGCACGTAAAAAAATGGATTGCACATGTGTGCGCAACGCTATCTTTCTTATTTGTGGCCGGACTTTTACGATTTTAACAGAACTTTCCCTACATTCATTGAAATATTAATTAACGATCGTCGATCGATTACAAAAGTGCTAAAATTGATATACGTTTGCATCCTTTGCTTGCATCTTTTTGTTCTTTTTCTGACGAATAATTTCTGCTATTGTTTCCCTTAGATCACCATATTTCTCGACAACGGCCATACCACGTTGAAAACACCGGTTCTCGTCCGATCACCGAAGTTAAGCAACGTCGGGCGCGGTCAGTACTTGGATGGGTGACCGCTTGGGAACACCGCGTGCCGTTGTCTCTTTTTTTTTTAATTTTCGCTTCCTTTTGACACATATTTGGCGCGGCCACGGTCATCCAGGCACCGATTTCCCGGCGACAAGCCGTCCCTGCGACCATTTTCTTCCCGGCTTCGGTTATTCCAGCAAATGGGCAATCCCGACTTCGGTCGTCCCGGCAATTTGAACTCTTGCGTTCGGAGAGATGGAAAACATTTAAGACGCGGTAAACATATGAAGCAAATTCATGTTTATCATATTGAAACAATTCACCCGAATTAAGTTTTTAGTGTGTAAACAACACATTACACAACTTATATGAGCTCCCTTGCATATGTCGGTCTCCTGTTCCTATTTCTAAGCATTAATCACAATGCGTCCAGGCACAATAACAGCCACTTTCGGTACCAAATTTAACATCCGCTTCTAAAGTATCATTATTTATGTCCAAAAAAAAACAAAGAGAAATGAGGTTGGATAGACGGCGTTAAGGAAAGCGTGCATTGCCGGGATAACCGATGCCGGGAAAGCAATAGTCGCCGAGATAGGTCGTCGCGCGGGTATAAATCGCCGGGATGGGATGCACCATATTTAGGGAGATTTTCCTCAAAGTGAAAAATCGCTATTGGCTGCACTTTGACGTCCGTCACAGGTACTCCTGCTAAACCACTGAACCGATTTTGGCGATATAGGACTCATTTGAAAGGGCTTGGTCCAAGGATTCCGTGCATACCCATATATTTTGGTTTTGCGCACGCGCAGTGTAAAAAATTTGGATTACCCCATGTGCGATGCTAACATTAGATGCTTATTTCCTTAGCAAAAATAAACTAATTTTAAATATTGATAAAACCAGATTGACGATCTTTTAGTTAGGGGTCAAATCTTCGCAGACTTTCTTTTTTTTAATCCTGTACTTTCTAGCCGACAGTTTTATATAGTCTCCACAAAAAATAGACCTTAAATGATCACAGAAAAATGTCAGATTAAACTAATGATAAATTACAAACATGATACACAAATAATCTCTTATATGTTAAAACATAAAGTCCAAGTTATCGACTATAATATATATAATATAATATAATACAGTATCCGGAATTATGCACAAAAATATTCTGTTTAGGTAATTGAATTGAATACACATTTTTAAAATACTTTTATTCAGAATTATTACAATTCTACAATTCAGTTCAATGTTAGGAAGTTCAAAATAGACCAATATTCTCACTATAAAAACTATATTTTTACACTAACTATTAAATTAAATTACGGATCTTCCGAGTTAGATGAATTGAAAATAAATAGATGCTCCTTTTACAGAAAAAGAGGAAAAAATAAGTGAATGATGAATAATGCCCCAAATTCTGTAATACCGAACTACAGAAATCACACTGCACGCTTAACCATTTATAATTCAAATAGTGCATCTTGTTGATCCTGCAATCTCTGCAACGAATTACGTAATTTATATCCCTGTGGCGTTAGCATTGATTGTGAGGAATCGTTTGTTACTGTATTATTGTTAATAAGCTGCTTCTTTTTTGGTGCACTAGGATTGTGTCTATCGGATGTGTAATTGTCATCTAAGCTCGACGTGAACCTAAAAATCAAATTTGAACCCTCTCACCACAAAAAACAATTTTACTTACTCGCTATTTCGAAATTTTTTCACCTCTCTTTTCGTGCACGCTATAGAATTATCGATCTTGTCTAAAAAGTTATTAACGTCGTCTTCTATACTGCATGGTGAGGTCACTTCGTCCGATTCGGATTGGCTGCTAGAAGCTGCTGGTTCCACATTGATTGGATATGAATTAATATCAGTTACGGGAATTAAAAGACTTTCCCTTAGAAATAAACTATCAGATGCCCAAAGACGATTTAATCTTCTAATCTGTTCCATCTAAAATACTCGTATGTTAGATACAGTGACATACGTAATTTTCTGATTAATAATTTGTCATGAATTGATAATAGCTCACAACATTGGGAGCAAATAAGATTCACACATTTTGATTAAAGTAAAACGTCCCAACCCCCCCAAATTATTCATTTTAATAAACATTAGCTATACACATTAGCAGTTCATCCATACACAATGCTGTTCTAATGAATGAATTTGTAGGGTCCAAAATATTATCTCCCAACCATGATAAAAGAATCTGGTAATTTTTTTCTATATGATCGTATAGTTTCAGATACAAGCCAATTAAAAAAAATGTCCGTGCATAATAATTCTTCCAGTTACACCCTATATCGTCAAAACAGGTTGTTCCTACTGGCATAGAAAAAGATTTGAGGGTTACCATAACGAAGTCTGAGAGTGAAAAAGAAGGCTGAACTCCTCTATAGTGACTCTATAGTGTGGTCCTATTTATCATTGAGCTGATTGGTTTAACCGAGTTTGTAGATTTTCCTATGATTACAATATTATTGCCATTTTCATTACCTTGGTTTGCTTAAAACACAGTTTCCAGGGTCTATTACTCTCAAACCTACAAAGAATAGGGACAATTCACTCCTGGAAGCAGGGAGAATTGGAAATTAGCACATACAATCATAGAATGAGAACAAAATTAAATGGGCGATTAAACAATTCCGACCATTTAAATCTCCGGGATTAGATGGAATTTTCCCAGCGCTATAGCAGGAAGAGGTCAAACTGCTATCCTTGCAAACACCTGGCAATCTGTAAGTGGATAACCTGTCTCGTGGAAAACTGGAATTTGCTGCTAATGAGAACACTGTGAGTGTACATTCTGTGAGAGGAGGTTCACAGGGACTATAGGGAGAGGTACTATCGCGTCCGCTGTGATGTCTTGTAAGATTTAAAACTATAGGCATAGTGTAAAGTATACAATAGTGAGATTTCGTACTTGTGGATGTAAAAGGGAATTGAATCTGGCGCAAACTTTAACAGTTACTAATGTTACAAACCTTTAATTGCGACTTTACACTACAGGAGAAAAGCCCTTTTTGCCAAATAAATTTACAGGGATTCATACTTTAGAGTTTAGACGATACAATACATGGAGTGCAACTATGTTTTCAATACAAAATGGGTGGTCACCGCTAGGGGGCACTGTGGTCATGTGTACGTGAATCTCAGGGTAAATTAAAGTACAATTTTAAAGTGCTATATACAGGGTGTTCCTAAATACATACGCAAATACAAACTACAACCTGTCAAAATAAGGGCCTACTGGACCATTTTAAAAAATTTACTTTCATTTAGCCAACCAGCGAGAATTATTTTTTTGTTCTCGATAACGGTCGCAGTTAAGAAAAATTACAAGAGAACAAAAAGTTTCCAAACAAAGCAGAAGACGAAATTCTTATTTTACAGTCTATCGGTGACGCCCCAAAAAAAATTCAGGGGTAGAAAATGGAACAAGGCCCCTGAAAAACAACACCCTGTAGATTCTCTCTATAATTGACATAACAATGATCTCAAAAACTGCAGGATATATATACAGGGTGACAGAAAAAGTAAAAATTACTTCCATAAGAAAAAACAAAGTTGATGATGATTAACTGGAGACCAAAAGTCAAACTTAAAATTTAAAAGTAGCATCCTGTAGAGGGACAAAAGTGGCCATAATAATGTATCATTTATTTCGAAATATCTTTATAAATAACTTCAGTAAAAAATAAAAAGATTTTGCAAAATTTCGATGTTTTCCTGATATCTCCGAAAGTAGTCGGAATTTTTTCAGTTTCAAAACTGCATTTTGTTAAGTATCAAAATACCTTTGCCAAATTTAAACTACCTATCTATCTCTTACAGTTCCAGAGATCCCCATTGTGGCCCTCGAATTTGAATCAACCTGTATAGAAAAAATTTAAATCTCGAAGCTTTAACACCCTGTAGATGAGTAACGACGCGTCTGCGGATCTATGTTTATATGAACTTTTAGTCATAAGAAGTTAAAAAATTAACCCCTTTCGTATTTACATCATATTTAGGAACGCCCTCTATATACTGCCTTTCAAAAGTACCACATTGTAAACAAATTTTGCATTTAACCTTGAAATGAGACGATGATTATAATAACTGATGTTTCTTAGTCATTTGGACATATGATCGTTCATTTGTTACTAACGAGTACCACTTGATGCTTTCACAGTGTTAGCAAAAATAAAAAATTATAATTTTAGGCGGGATTAGCATTCCAGGACTTGTGAACAATACCTTCATTGTACCTCCCTTAGTTAATTTTAATTTTAATCCACGTTTTAATAATTCATGCTGTACATTTTTGTACAGTACTAAAGTTAAGTAGCATAATCAAACCGAAAAAAAGAGAAGTATTTTTTTACTAACAATCAATGGTAATATCGACACGTGTGCTACCTCTATAGCTCTCAAATTTGCTATTTCCAAAAAGTGCATGGAGGTTTTCTGACTATGGTATAGGTTCTGCAGATGACATAACTCTCGACATAACTGTAATAGTCTGTGAACAGTTTAAGATCACCATGTGCGACAGAATACAAGGGGCCCTCAAATTGGTGTGAAGGTGGTGTGACAAAGCGACATCTCCCTTACACGGTTCACAAAATGAATCCTGTGGGAAGAAAGGCAACTTCTGCTCTATGGTATGATCACTACATGTCAAATGAAGTAAAATACCTGGGGGTAACCATAGATAGGACGTTGACATTTAAACTACCTACATACATTTGGACAAAATAACAAACAAAATACTTGATACGCATGATGATGATTTAACCTATTGTTACGTATGTGGTCTTAATGTGGTGGAGACAGATTGAGACAGCGCCTCCAGCTCTGGGAGCGGAGACAATGAAAGGAGCTTACAGATTAATGATAAACTCTAAGGCGCCGTTCATACTGAGGCGATGTATAGGGAATTTTTCTTGTATGCAGGTATACTTTTTAAACAACGGATCAAACGCATGGAATAGATGGATAATAAACAACCAACTTTACACGAATTTGTTTTAAAGAATTATCAGCGTCTGTTATGGAAACAGCAACTTGATTATTCAATGTCAAATTAAGGTTAGCTATTAGACTTTATTTTTATTATTAGACTCAAATTGTGATTTTTTACACAAAGATGTATCGCAAAGACGATAAGGTTGAAATATTAACATGGTATCAGGGTGGTACCAATTTAAGAACTGCAAAAACAGGCCCAGTTTGTCGCGTGTAATTTTGGTTGCCTGCAGGCATCTATTTCATGCCGTGATATTAGTACATAGAGTTTACTCTATGATTAGTATCATGATTCCCATGCAATTAACCCGTTTTTTTTAAGTATACATAGCCCATATGTATACATAGAAAAATTCTCTGTATTGTAAGCCATATGTAGTGACGATGCATAGGGTGGCTCAAATTTGTGGCTCAGAATTGGGATCTCTGCAACGGTGAGACATACATACATACATAATACTTATACATAAGTTTACAACAAAAATTTTCAAAATCAAATTCATTCCTTAACGAAATATGCACAGATCACTAGATCTTGCTGAATCAACAGGCTACAATTTTCTCAAAATTTGGTTTATATTGGTTCAGCTGTTTAGCCAGAAATGAGATTACACACAGACAGATCGATCGACATCATCGAGATTATGTTTGATTCGGATTCCTGATACTTGAAAACGTGTACTTATTTCCGTCAAAAAAGTCGGAGGTCATTTTTTATCCCAAGACTTACTAACATGCGGGTGGTAAAAAGGAATTGGATATTTTCAGTTTTTCTGTGATATCTCGGCATAGAGTAAATAATAATAACTCTATGATCTCGTTTAGGTATTTTCAAAGATTTTTCAAAAATTTCAAATGCGTTTTTTAGTCACAGAAAGAGGCAACTTTGCCCTCAGTTAGTCTACACTGTATCTCTCGCCGTTACAGAGATCCCAATGGTGAGCCATGAATTTGAACTACCCTGTACATGAAGTGAACAAAACCATCAAATACCTTAGACCATATAGTACATGGACTGCTATTAGCCCTATGCTTTCAATACAAAATGGGTGGTCACGGATAGAGGGCACTGTAGTCGTGGGTATGTGAATCTCAGGGTAAACTAAGGTCGTATGAACACCACTCGGATCGCGTAAAGAGCAGCTTTCTAGTAACCGCGTAGTACGGGAAGCTTTTATATACTCTTCATTATTTGCTATACGTTCACAAATAATAATAAGTTTGCTTTTTTTGGGATATCTAGGCGATTAATTAATTGACGTTTGTGAATTTATAGGTTGACAGTCTCAAATCGTGTCTCATCGGACAACTTCGAACAGACTCGTTTACCCTGAAACTCACATACCCAGGCGATGTCCTTGACCATATTTTAGTTACAATTAGCAGTCCATGTACTATATGGTCTAAGTCAAATACTGATTCATTCGCTTAAATAACTCCAAAATCACATAAAAAATCCCATATAAGTATTTCGACAAAAGCAAAATTTAGAATTTTTCCATGACAGCTCGAATTTCTCCAAAAAGTTGGTAAAATTAAATGCCAATATATTGCAATTAATTTTCAAACACAAAAACAATACAAAATGATTAGTACAAACAATGAACATCGCAATTAATTTAGAATAGGACACAGGCAAATGAAATTTTTTAAAAATATAGCCATGTTTAATTATTGTACTATACAATAACAAAATGATGATAAAATTGGTATTGAGGTTTGAGATATCTGTATTTCCCAACAAAACATCCCGCGTAAAAGTAAAAATTTTCATGAAAAGAAGAACAACCACTGAGCGAAACATCCTGAACAACTTCATACAATTTCCTTACTTTCCCATAAAGCTCATTAGCATTTCCATTAAGAATAATGTGAACTTTAATTAAACCTACTTCTCAATTAAAACAATTATGCCGTTAGCCTTAGACATTTAATAATGAAATCATACTCAAATGGAATAATGAAATGATAATCAATTTTGTAACTAAGGTAACCCACCCGTGCCTTCTTGTCTTTGAATTTTGTATACTTCACACAAGACACTTTCTTTGTATTAATGCGGCACACTGCACCACCATCAAGTCACCTAAACATATCAAGAAAACTACATACCGTTACACCGTACTTAAGTGCAATCCCTTGCAGCGTATCTGTATTTGATATCACATGCTTAATTACGTTTTGATTTCGATTTGTATGTCTGCTTGTGCTTCCGTACTTCTTGAGAGATTTTGCGGAATCGCGAATGGAAAGTTTTTCAAAAGGTTGAACTGTTTCCATTTTAAGCATATCTTTTGCGCGTAGGAAGATTTATTCTATCTGCAACAGAATAGATTTACTTAACACTTCAAATTTCCACTTAAAAAGGTTTGATAAGAGATTTACTCACACATAATTCTATTTTTCATGTGATAATGATAAAATTGAAGCAACTGCGAATGTTACTTGTACCACATTAGTAGTTCGTTTCGGGATAATTGGAAACTTATTACAAAAAATTTGTCAACAAAATGAAATTTCGGTACAAAAATGTTTATAAGTAGAAAGGGAATGACCTTCAGAACATATGATTATATACGAAAAGTTTCATTGCACAATTTATACCGGGTGATCCAAAATAACTGCAGACAGTTTAAATTTGGTGCTCCAAGTTTTTAGTGTTTTTACTCAACTCATTGGCAAACATGGTGGGTTTATTTATATAGTAATCGCCATCCAGTGACAGCGTTTTTTTATGTAAATTTTTATTTTCTTGTCTTTGTTCCGCCATCGTCTTCTATTCAAAGGTCTTTGCAAGTGCAACATTTTGCAAGGTACGTAATAAGAGAAAATACTTTATACGAATCATGTATCCTCACTTTTTAGGCTTAAAGGCTTTAAAGGGGATGGCTTTTGATGCATTCATTTTAAAGGCGCACACGTTTAGAAGATGCTCGTACTCGACTCGGTTGTGGTGACTGCAATCAAAGAGTATATAACGTATATACTCTTTGCTGCAATTCAACAAAAAATATCTCTACCTATTTGTTATTATTATTTACAAATCGCATATAATACGTGGCACAAAATTATGCTCGAAGATATCGGAATGTTTTCATATAGCTTCAATGACGAAGCATACGGGTTCATTTATCAGAGGTTGATAGTCAGAACTAGGACGTGGGCAAGTCCAAAAACTTTACAGTTATCGTTTAATTAGCACGACCATCCCCGAGCAACACTAGAATCAATATGCGAATAGGTACGAACCGGAGCGTGCAACAGTGCTTCATAAATTAATGTTTTTTTAAATTATTTAATTGTGGTTATTGTTTAGCGATCCATAAAATTGACCCACCACTGCTTTTAAATAAATGACATTTGGTATGTTACCAACTTTAAAAATGTTTAGTTTTGCGGGAAATTCAAACTATCTGCCGTGATTTTGGATCACCCGGTATACAGGAGTTTTGCATACAGATACGGTAAACACAAGAGACAAGACCTTTGAATATTGAAGTGTTTCCTTATTTTAAGTGTATTATACACTTAGGTATATTAGCTAATCATTATTAATCGAGATGAATGTCTTAGGTAAAATATTCACACAGTATAGTTTACAAATAAAATACATATCTCCTATAAGAACAAGGTGCGAGGCCCGTCTCTGGTATTTCCACGCTGAATTGCAATGTTAATCTTTATGTGCACTAAACAATTTTCGGCGTGAATCAATAAATTGAATTGGATCATCACAGAGAAAAGGTTTGAGAGTTTGCATCGTATATTGTATGAGATCGTGATTTCTAATGATCATTTTGGTACTTGTTCCTCTTTTTCAAAGCTACTATAGATTCGTTGAAGATCCAGCTCCATTTACAGCAGAATCAGGGTCATTCCGTCGCGTAGCTTACCATCATTTACGGTTCGCTTTACGAAAAGTAAATGGGTTGGGTTGGCACTAACATTTTTTAGCATTGGAATGGGAAATGCTTATGTTTTGTATGGGTATGAATTTACCAGGTTTGCCGAGTAGAAAAGAAGCCAAGTGGTGTCGCGTCTAGGGTTGATTGTACCGTACTCGACTGCAATCGGTAGATTCAGGAAAAGTCGCGGATACTGTCGATATGGTATTTACTTAACAGTGCGCAGGGGTTTTGTTAATTCGAATTTCAAATTCTCGCATGTCGCCCGGGATAGTATTTACAAGCATGTTACGCCGCTTATTATTCAGCTTCAGCAAGTGTACCTTTGCGACACGAGCGAGTGGAGCAAGATTATTCCGTGTGCATAAAAGTTATTTATGGCTTTGTAGGTTATACGGTTATCATTTCCAAGGTCTCCGATGGTTGCAAGGATTGCGAAATCTGTGAATTTTTTATGTTATTAAGTAATGAGTAGTGTGAGCGTGGCAACCATAATTACTTCTTTTCTAATATATATGTTGGCAACTAGAAGCAAATTACACCACTCTAATAGGTAGCAAAACCATTTGAAGAAATGGCATGAAGTAATTTGGTTTTAGCAAAGGACGTTAAAAAGACCTTTAACGTCCTTGGTTTTAGCAGTATCATTGATTATGTGTGTATAATCAATGGCAGTATGGTGTAAAACTTCCATTACTTATTTCTATTCATTTCTATTGCGTTGGCAATGGTGTAGTTTAATAAACGGTTAATTCTTTGAAATCCGTCAGTCAAACTAGAAGTTTGGAAGTTGTTTTTATTGTAATTAAGTACTTGTAATTTTCGGCTAACAGAATCGTACTCGCTACCTATGGACTTAGAGGTGAGTGTTGTAGCCTATCTTTCCAAAGTTGCTTTTCACTTGGTACCCTTTTAGCTCAAACAGGTTGAGCAACGACTTCCTATGCTCTTCGAGAAGAATAGGCTGGCAAGTTTTAAGTCCTGGAAGTTCAATGACAGAAGCAAATGTAGCGCGAAGAAGGTTATTTTATATTATCGCTAATTAGGGAACTATTTTATATTACTTTGTAGTTGGCGGAAGCAGGTTTCTACTATGCGGGCACGCCTGATGAACCGGATGGTGTGCAATGCTTTTTATGTAATAAAGCCCTGGATGGATGGGAAAAAGAAGACAATCCTTGGGACGAACACATCTCACATTCTAAAAATTGCGAATTTGCGAAATTACGCCTACCTGAAGCAAAGTTGACCACAGATCGCTTTCTTCAATTTTGTCTTGAAATGGTGCTGGTGCAGTCAAAGAATTATGTGACAAAGGTTGTCGAAAGTAACAAGAAGGAGTTCTCTCAGAAATATACGGCAAAGAAAAAAACATTAAACGGCATCAGGAAGAAGTAGCAATTACATATGAGAAATTGAGGCAGATAAAATTCAGAATGTTGATGGCACTTGTAATTTTATAGATTATTTTTTTAAGTAAAAGAGCTGCATTTGACACTGAAGTTTTTCTGTAGAAATGCATTCCTTTGATTTTAGATTGAAAAAGAGAGAAACAGATGTATACATGAAATTGCAATGTAAGTTAAGACTATGCCATCAAAAATGAGTTGCTGTCGAGTCACCTTTGAAATTTTTGTTTACATGGGAAATCGTACTCGACTTGAACTTCCAAAGGCGACTCGACAGCAACTCATTTTTGATCGCCCGTTAGTGCCCAGATAGCATCTCTAACAAAGTATTTACCTTTTTTTGTTTAACGTAAATTACCAATTATAGTAGTTTTACATTTCGAAAGTATATATACTGGGTACTCCAAATACTCGGGGTGATTTACTGTAAATGGTTTAAAACCATGGGTCAGAATTCCAAATTGTTTCTAATTACAAAATGAATTGTCAAGGAAAAATAACATACCCACCGTGCTAGGAGAAATTGTTGAAAATGTGAGAGAACGTACCCGAGAAATTAAGTTACAAAGTTCCGGAAATTCAGGGCCCGCAGACATTTTGGTTCACCCGGTATAATGATATTATCGTAGGTAATTGCACAAGTGCATCAAAATTACCGATAATTTTTTTGAAAGCATGTCTAAAAACTGCATGAGTTTATTTTCATATTTTGGCGAAAGAGCCCGACACCGAAGGTGGAGGGCTCTTTTAACAAAATATGAAAATAAAAAATAAACGCTTTGTACAGTGCAATTATCGCTGAAATACCACACGTGCAATTATCACTATAATTCGTTCAACATATATGAACAAAATATGAAAATGACCGAATGCAGTTTTTTCCTGACAACATGCTTGAATAAAAAATTATCAGGTTTATTTTAATGCACGAGTGTAATTTAGGGGACTATTCAATTCATCTAACATTTGTCACATTTCAACCAGTGAAATGTCTCGATTTCAAATTGCTGCGTCAATGGGAACGAATTATAGTGATAATTGCACGTGTGGTATTTCAGCGATAATTGCACTGTACAAAGCGTTTATTTTTTATTTTCATATTATGTTAAAAGAGCCCTCCACCTTCGGTGTCGGGCTCTTTCGCCAAAATATGAAAATAAACTCATGCAGTTTTTAGACAACATGCTTTCAAAAAAATTATCGGTAATTTTGATGCACTTGTGCAATTACCTACGATAATTGCACTGTACAAAGCGAAAGAGCCCTGCGATAATTGCACTGTCCATATCCATGGCAACTGGCAACTCCTTTGGACAATTTCACGATACACCGACAATTTATAAGTAGGTAACGTCAGTTTGACAAGTAATGCTTGTTCGGGAAATATTCATATAAAATACCATAAGTATTACCCACGCGAATGTACTTCCATGACAACAATAAACGTCAAAATAAATTATGGAAGCTACTTTTCATTTTGCTATTGATTCTATTCGAACTTTTGTGCTCCAAGCTAATTCGTTATGAGTGATTAAATTAAAAGATGTGGTGATAAGTCGGTTGTCGAAATTGATTAACAAACTAAGAAGAATGTTCCGGTTAATACGACAAAATTTCGCCGCGTCATTTCACTGGTGGAAGTTTGACAAATGTCATTGAATAATCGCATTGAATTGTCGCTGTAATTGCGCGATAATTGCACACCTCACCCATATGGCATTTATGACATATGAGGGAAATATTCATTGAAACAGTGGTGTTATCTAGTGAGAAAATACTTTCTCCAATTAATGGAAGTAACGCGCCGGTCGTGTAGTTCACTTTACCCAAACCAAAGATTAGTATTTTCTCCTACAGATGCAGATGTCGTACTGATTGTTGGGATATCACGTGACTGTGTAACCCCTTCCCCCACCCACTTTTTTTAATCGAAATGAATCCGATCATCTGTCATCACAATAAAACAATGTAAAAGTGCGAAGTCTAAATGCTTGTATTTAGAAGCAAAATCATGCGTGTCGGTCACAATAGAAATTAGTGTCTTTCTGAAAACAATATTTGAACTAGAATTCATGTGAAGTTTTATTTCGGATTTACACCAATGCTGTGGTAAGTGTGACGAAATGTGGTAGCCTATTTTTTAGTCATTCAATCAATAAACAACGGTATACAATTTGGCAATCCGTATTTAACATTGTACGAAGTGGTCGTGTTCTGGACATGATTGTAAATTCTGTTTTAATCTTTTGACTGTCACCATTGTTGGGCCTCTTTATTTATGTTTTAAATCGTTGTTTTGCTTGGCTATAGTGTGGATAGTAAATTACTGGGCAATTTGGAGTATAATAAATTGTATTGTTTAGGTAATTGACATAGAGTTTGACTTTGAATTTGATTATACTATTATCTCGACTATGATTTACTCAATTGTGAGGTAATTGTGGCATTTTCTAGTTATCTTGCCCTTGAAGGTGAATGTGTACTTTAAAAGAACATTGAAAGGGGGAATACATGCATCGAAGTCAATTTTCACGGGGTGCCTTACCTATGTCTACTATTTAGAGATATATCAAGCCTATTTGTAAGCATTAACCATCATTCCCCAAATCATAATGCATGTTCGTAATGCTTACAGCTCGACTTACAGAGTACACATACTTAGATGTGTGTATTTTATGAAAAGGCCAGATGATGAAATCAAAGTAAAATGGTGCAATCTGTGTATCGAACTGTGTATTATGTGCGTAGTATTCCCACGTGTTTCACCATCAAACGATTGCAACTAAGTTAAAAGAGAGTTTTTATTGTTGTCTTAAATAGGTCTAATTTTAGATTCATCTTTCAATTCAAATTTCATAGTAATTTACATAAGAATTCACAGTTCTGGTTTATATTATGTCAGTGGTGTTACACAAATATACCTACTTCTCTCTGTCTATTTATATTCTCTTAGGGACTGTATGATAAAACAACCACATTAACCACTTTTGTACATTTTTGTATTGTTACAATCTCAGTTACAATGTTGTCACAATTGTGTCCATGCCAATTTGTGCATACCTAACGGATATACATATTGTGGGCCAAAAAGAAAAAAATACTGTAGCATAAGTTTCTGCGCAAGCGCATTCCTACCCTGTTATTTACTGTCAATGAAATTTTAACTACTCCCGAGGATACCTACTCCTGATAAAAGTGAAGGTGAAGCTGATGGCACAAGATCAATCAAATGGATTTTCGAATGTGAGCATGTGCCAAACTAACTTTTCCTTGTTTATGGAGTGATTCTTATAAAATTTCTATATTATTTATGTTCTTCTGATAAAAACAATTAAACAAATCAAAATCAAACAAATGAAAATTATGGAGCAGACGCACCTGTCGCACCTAACGATTCATTTGATCGGATTGTATCTGATTGTATTACTATAAATAGTTACAGTTATGTTGGAGAATGGAGTGTTGAAATAGGTACTCACAGAGTGAAGATAGAAGTGTTTGATCAAGTGCATTTACACGATTACATTTTTTTACTTGTGTAACTTTGCAAAATATGTTTCAAAGGTGCGGTAAGTCTGTCTGCTTATGCTTCAGTCATCCAATTAGGTATATTTAGGATCTAGGGTCAAGTGAATAAGTATACAGGGTGGGTCATTAGTGCGTGGGCGAGTGCTTGGGTGGAAGATTGTCAAACCGACATATTTAAAATTCATTGTCAAGCATGTTGAAGGACTCTTAAGGCTACACATGGTATCTAAAATGAATTGTTTATATATTATAAAACATTTACTCCAAAGAATGTCAAAAACGCTTTCATGTTTTTCATAGCTCATTTAAAAAAAACAGTGATAAAATAATGAATTTTGAATTTAAACCAATGCGTTTGTTTAAATAATTAAATTTGAATAGTAAGCCATGGTAATCGCATGGTAACCATATTGGAAATTACTAAAACAAAATTACATGAATTCTGTTGTAAAATAATTTTTTCTCAGGAGCCAGAATTATTATATTTAGGGATATATTTAGTTAAAACGAGAGTTCTAGCTAGATATTGCATTTGAAATGGAAGTTCTCCTCGCTTACTACCGCGCACAGTACGACTGTGCGCCATCATATCTATATGAGTGGTTCGCATTCACAAAATACAGGGTGTTTTTTTGGGAACTTTAGTTAAACGTTTCTGGGAAAGTAAAAAAAGGTAGCTTTTTGAAAATTTGTACCTAGGAGTTACTCTGAAGGCCCAATCGATGTAAAATATTTTCAAAATGGTGGCACTTCCGGAAATACCGGAAGTAGCTAGTAAGTTTATTATTTTAAATGGCAACCCCTATTTTTTATTGCATTTTTGGATTCTACATGAAATTTCAGTTCTTTTGATACCCCCATGTCAATATCTCCAATTTATGGTTTATCAGTTATTTTTGACTTTAAGGAAAAAAATGACGGATGCAGCAGGTACCTACTTTAAAAATCGATTACTTAAAAACAGTTGTAGTTATGGCAACCCATTTTTGCCAGTACATAGAGAAAGAATAGCACTTTCTTTTAGTGCATTTTAAAAAGAGTTAAGTTGCATATGACCCAAGGTATGACCGCACCCATGTAGATCCAAATTTAAAAAATTTCAAAGACTAAAACCTCAGTTTTTTTTTAATAAAATGACCATTTTCTTACTATTGCATTTGATAGAGAATCAAAATTGGCATATTTTGATATTACATGTTCTGATGTTCTTATACCTATCTTTAACAGTTTCTGATTTATTTCCATGCCATTTCATTGAATTGATAACATTTTTTTCGGATTTTCTTTTTAGTAGTTGGCCATGATTTTGTGACGATCGAATTTTAAATATCAATGATTCTAATCTAAATAATTAATTAATAAAAAAGGTAACAAAGTGATCAGCTAAGTGGATAACACAAACTTATATGAAAATAAAATGAAATATTTTAAAATTCTTTTTTCAACACGTGTTCAAAATGAGCGCCTTCGTGTTTTAAACACAATTCAATTCTTTTTTTTAATGCTCTCCTGTAGAGTTTTGTATCGCATGTGATTTAATAGTTTCTAGTGCATTTCTTACTCTTAAGATCATAACTTCTTTTTTCTATTTCGGTGTCACAATGATGATTTTGTACAACTGTTTTCGACCGAAAACAGTTGTACAAAGACAGTGATTATAGTCGTTTTTTTTGGTAACTCATCTCTTAAGTTGGCAGTTACTAGTTAGTACAAGTAGGTACTTCGTTGGGTACTTCCATGTTTGAACTTCAAAATGTCAGTCTTACTACGCTGCCAACCTAAAACTTAACGGCATAAAAAGTGTTCCCAACATAAAACATGTTAGTTCTAATGTTCCCTATAGTTTCTGATAATGATTTTTTAAATTAAATTAAAGCACCGAAATAGAAAAAATAGTATGAAAAACGCGTGTTACAATGCTTTATTGTAATACTTCTATCTTGCGTCGTATTACAATAGGTCGCAATAGGTCGCATTGTAACACTTGTCTTTCAATATACTATTGGCATAAACGGTGTCTTTTACATATCCCCACAAAAAGAAATCTAATGGGGAAAGGTCCGGGGAACGAGCAGGCCAAATATATGGCCCGCGGTTTCCGATCCAATTCCCTGGAAAAGTGGCATCTAAAAACTCGGAAATAATGCCTGCATTTTGTGCAGGGGCACCATCTTGTTGGTAATACATAGCATCATATTCTTGTAGAGGCAGAAAAGTAGTTTGAAATTTGAATTTTGTGTATAGGTTGCGAACTATATCGTATACCCTCGGTTTTATTAGGAGTATAGGACCGAAAAGAGACCAGTTTCTAGACAAAAACCGAAAATAGGAGAGGGGACAGCAGGCCAGCTGTCACCAGTGTTGCCACCCCGTGGGATTTTTTCTCGGATTTTTTGATAGGGGGGTTGGCATATTTCAGTAACAATATCTCAGAAACTATCATCTTGAAAAAGAAAAATGTGGGGTTACTTTTTATTGACCATTTAACGAGGAACAAAAAAGGACTGAACTATTCTTATCGCTCGACTCGTATTTAGAGAAAATTCCTCGGAAAATTTTAAAAAATCATAAAAATTCACCCTTCCATTTGTCTAAACAAATGTTACGGTCAGAATTGGAGGATTATTTTTTTAGCACGTATTATTTACAGTTTGGAGAAGAGATTAAAACAACAATTGGCTTATTCAAAATTTGTTCCTTATCAAAACATCTGACGCCTCGACTATCTGAGAAAAGCCGACGTATACACGTATACGGCACGCCGCGTCACTTTTCCTAAAACGTTTCGTGTACGTACACCGCCCCTGGCCCCCCTCCATGCTAGTTTTAAATCTATCCAACAAACTTTTGAAACGCGCGTGGGTCGGGAATCTGGATGTGTCCTGCCAAGATAACCTCCCAGCGAACACTCGTTATCTTTTACTTTTATACATAGTATCGGTATATTTTATAGTAAAGGAATTATATTTATTATATTTCGTCACATAAGTAAGTGTTTAACATGGAGCTCTTCCGAATGAAAAAAAAAATACATATGGATATACTTCGGGATATACACAGTGTTACTACTTGTACTATGATCACAGATTTAGAGTGTTTAAATCAGTGCTATCATGGTGTAGCATATTGTGAATTTAATATTTATAGTGGACTTTAACAAAATTTCTATCACAAAATACTTACAGAAATACCAAAATGAAAACAAAAGATTGTGCCGAGGGGTGTGCCACAAGGAAATAAAACGTACACCTACTGTAATTACATTAAATTACTCATATAATTTCAGGTAATTTTTGTAATTTTGTGATTACATTACGTAATTTTTGTAATTTTCGGTTTGTATTAAGTAATTTTTGGAATTTTCGAATTGTAATAGTAATTTTTCTGTAATTTTTGATATGCATTGCGTAATGTTTGTAATTGCAGAATTACAAACGGTAATTTTTGTACTTTCAGGAAACTTCTAAATGTGAAACTGATTATGTAATAGTTGTCAAGATTGCTGTATCTAAACAAACTACAACGATATCAGTTATTACGTTGAAATTTATTCACTCGCGTCTTTAGCGCAACCCACGGACTAATGGGACTAATGGGGGTGCTTGTGGTCGGCAACTACCTACTGCAAAGAAAAAATAAAATAGGTTATATAGTTTGTGTCTATTTAACAAAAATATAACTGAAGTAATATTAAATGCGTCACATTTCGAGTACAACTAATAGATATTGGATAATTGTCATCCATTATAACATAATATTTTGTAATTTTAGTACGTAATTAATGTCTTTTAAAATTTTTATACAGTTTTACAATTTTGTTTCTATCTTCTTTTGCAATTTTGAATGGATGACTTCCAATTAAGTTTACTGGACCACACAGAATAAATTTTGAAGAAATATTATCCGTGTCATCTTTTTTGGGCCATACAAAGGTGTCCAGTGACTTTCTTAAAAACTTCATGCTTACAATTTGTTCGTCACACTCTCGGTCACACTCTTGGCTTATATTAGTGACTTTGCCCAGAAACCAATCTTCGTCGTAGTATACAGCGTAATAGCGTTCTGAAAAAAGGTTTAGCTCGAGGTTTAGCTGTTCTGCACGTTTAGTTGTTACATGTGTATCTACTCGATGTTTATCGTCTAAACTTCTGACTCTGAGGGTTCTGTCAGAACTTAATTTATTTTTATCTCCAGTAAGTAGCCAAAGTATTGACGATTTTTTAACTACAACTTCTCTGCCAGAATGCAATTTTACTCGTAAAGTTGATTTTCCTGTTTTTTCCAACAAATGACTCTTTAAATGTACCATATCAATATCCTTTAACAAATTTTTATCTTCCTGTACAAGGTCTTCATCTTCCATTTCCCTTTCGGCGTTAGTGCTGTTTTCATGTATATCTGAAACATAGTAAATGATCAGTGTTGTGATGTGTGATCGTAAAAAACTGTAGTCACTACAACTATTTGTTCCCAGCATATTATTTCCAGTACTATCATGTAAAAAATTTAAATATCAGGATAGGTATACCTTCATGAATTTCATTTTCATCCATCAATTCATCCTGATTCACCGAGACCCTTAAAATAGGTTGCATCCAGGCATCGTTCACAAACTTTATATCGAATTCACGAACATCCCTGACGACATCTTCTTTTGCTTGCATAACTGTTTGTTCTATCTCTTGATCAGAAGGGAATTTTAGGGATATGATTTCATCATGACCCATTTTTTTATGAGCTTCGCGAGGAAACTTATATGTTGGCTCTAAGTTTATAAAATAGAATATTAGTTTTTAGTTCTTACTAAAATAGTAAAATACAAAACCTTACCTAATTCTTTAGTAATGTTGTTTAACAACTGTAGTCTATGTATTCGCCCCATTACTTCTAGTATGTTAAAGTTTACAATAGTAGAAAAAGTACTCGTCATTGACCTTAAAGATCTAAACATTTTTTCAGATGGCTGACTGCTTGCAAGCCATGGAAGAAATATTGTTTCGGATGTTTTGTTTCCTGCATCATTTCGAGCTCTTTTTACAAATTGAATAAACCCGTGTGCATTAAGTTCAACACATGTGTATGCGTTTAGTGTTACAAAGTTTTCGGTAATAGAATATTTATTCATTTTTAACCAATATCGCCATATTCGAAAGTAAAAGGTGGCGTACCATAGGTTATACAATCTTTGATCAATACTGATACTTTTATCCAAATGGGCGTCAAGAATTTTTTTCATGACTAGAAGAAATAGGGCGGTGGCGCCACTATCAGGCACATTTCTTTTTAATAGCAAATTTATCCTCGGGTGGGTAATTTTTCAACACTCTCGAAATTCATCTTATCCTGTCCATTTAAATGATATTGAAATAGACAATGTTGATCCTTTGGCACGTTTTCTATTAATGTTTGTAGATGGTCAATTGTAATAACATGTTTTCCAAATGGCAAAAAAATATTGGTTTTTAACAAACGAGTTCGAAGCTTTGTACCTATGTACAGCGTCTTGCACCATAATGGGATTGTTATGCAACTCCTTCGCATAAAAATAAGAGCTTCCGACAAGTGTATTGGACCAAGCATTGGAGTTATTTGTTGCATGCATTCCGAGGCCCATTTTTATGTTCATTGTTTTCATCATCCTCGTATCCCCGTCTGTAGAAAACCCTATTACCTCTATTTCATAATTTTCTGCTGTTCTTTGAATATGATTCCATCTTTTCTGGACATGTTCAGCAGTAAATTTGTTGTTGGTACCGTATACACACAGACAAAATGAAGGTGCTCCATTAACAAGTGGTTGTGCTACTATTACGTTGATATAACTGGATCGGTCATATTTATTTTCGTATTCATACACATCATGTAATGTGTTGAAAGGAAAATGGTCTACTAGCGGCATACCATTTTGGTCAAGAGGGGGGGCAAAGCCAACAATTTGGTTCAATCTTGAATTAAATTTAATTTTGGGTACTATTGAGGTTTGGTCTTCACTAACCCACACTTTCAATGGCAAATTTCTTGAATGTAGAAATTCTTTTAACTGTGCAAATTGAAGTTCGCCTTCCTTTATAGTACATTGATCTTGAGTAAAGCGTTGTATCGTACGTAAAGACGGTAACGCTTTTGGCATATTAGCACTTATGGTCTCATAAAGCAGTCTTCCCCCTACAATGAATAAAAAGGAAGAAAACTTTTTTAATTGTGTGTCATATCGAAAAGTATTTTTGTATTTTTTTAGACTATTGTTTTTTAAGCTTAAGGAAATTGCATTTAATAACGCTTTCATTTCTCCTTTAGTTGCAGGGTTTAATATTCCACCTGTGGATTGTAGTACTGCGTTTTTTAATAAATCTTTTAACTTAGTGTTTTCTGACATAACGTACATCATTTTCTTTTCCACTTGTTCAATCGTGCGATCAATACGAAAACTGTGAAGTATATTTCTTTGACATTTATCAGATTTACTTAGTCGGTTTCTTAGTCGTTTTTTCCGATAATTTCTGGAATATTTTATGTCTTTCCATTTACTTTTAGGAGGTTCAACTAAAACTTTGCAGGAAGTTTGAACCTCATTAACGTTCCTGCAATTCCCAAAATTTGGCAGAGAGCCTACGTCCAGATTTTGGTTGTTTTCGTTGTCCGTATGGAATGGTAAACTCGAGGCTAAATTGGATGGTAAAGTTACTGTGTCATTAAAACATGTTTGTCGTGGAATTTCAATATCCTGTAAAATAATTATTCCACCCGAAGACATTGATGGTGAAATTGAGGATGGTGTGTTTCTTTTTGGCGGCGTTGAAATTATAAAACAACCACTATTTTGATCTGGATTTTGGGAATTATTTTGTAGGTGTGAGTTTGCTAAAAAGCTATTTATCAAAGGTTGTTTTGTACGGTGTGCAAAGTCTGAAGTTATATTTTTTTCACTTCCCTTCAAGCTCGCCTTCAAGTGAGTTTTAAAATGTTTATAATAATTTGAGTATATTGCCACACAATTTGATTTTGTTCTATGTAATTTAATGGTTTTAGAACAAAAGCATAATATACTTGGAATTTTTTCAAAATCATTAGAAAATGTTAAATCCAGTGTTAGCAATTTGGTTTGTATATCAGCGTTTTCCTTACAAGCAACGTTATAAGTTACGAGTTGACCTAAAATCCACTTCTTTATAGTTGCTATAATGTTATCTTTCTCTGCCCCTGTTCCTATTACATTTGTACCTCGATTTGTACACATATCGTCAGGGAAATTTTGACTCGATTTTTGTATTTTGTCGGAATTTTGTTCATTTTCGTGTAAATTATTCTTGGGTCGTTTTTTTTCTCTATTATCGCGGTTTTGTATTTTTCGTTTATGACTTTCAGCTTGTGCTTTTTCTTTCCGCCTTAAACAAATAAGACAGATCATTAATCATGATAAAAGTAACTGCATTTATGAGAATATCTTAATTGACAGAAGTTAATCAGTCATCAATAATCTTACTGTGCCGTTTTGGGTAATATATAGTTAAAATACTCACATATTTGCACAATATAAAATGATGAAATGGAATTCACCTTGGGATTTACACTTACTCAGCAAATAATTTTAATTTTTCTAGAAGTAACTTCTGGCCCGGTAAAATATCAAACACTTTACTGTTACTGAATGGTCCCAAATACGCATCTTTCGATGTAGGAAATACACTTGGTATGAAGTCTACTGCAACTTTCACAACTTCCTTTGCTTTGTCTTCTGACCATTGTGACAAAGTCGCTTGGTTATCAAAACCGCAAAACTTTAGCAAATTTTTGAGGTATAAAGGGATAACAACATTATATTCTTTTTGAAACTCTTGAAATATGTCACCACCTAAATCATCTGATTCCCTTTGATTAATAGCACTGTCTTCCATCTGAAAAAATACGTGGCTACTTATTGTAATAAATAAATAAATGTAAGCAGCTGCAAAGTTCTTTTAGTAGTACTACTAGGAAGTTTAATTTATTTATTGGTGGACACTAAAGGGCTAAGTCTAGGTATGTATAGATTAGTACTCACCTTAAACTTTTCATTTGAGCACTTTCACGTATTATAAATTTGTAGCGCATCTAATCACACAGTAGGTACTGCACTTATGAATGTGTAATTCAAATAAAGCAGAATAAACGTATTAATCAAGAAACTGCTGAATTAGCGGAATTTTAATACTTTAGAGTGGGAACAACAATAATTTTTCTACTTACAATGTAATGCTTGTAATTCTTTATGTAATTTCATAGTAATTTTGGAGAATAAGTAATTTTTGTAATTAATGTACTCTAATAAGTAATTTAAGTAATTTTATAGAATTTCAGGTAATTTAAAATTACATTCATCTCATTTGTACACCAAAAATTACTCGTGTCACACCCCTCGGATTGTGCCAGTTCAATTTGTTTGAGTTTGAAGTATTGCAGGAATTTTTGTATTTGACGTTTTTCAGGAAACACAAAAACAGGTTCTCAATAGGTGTTGACTTGTTTTTAGAGATGGATGCGAGGATGGGTGGTAGGTACATCAGAGGCACCTTTGATTGAAATATCTATAATTTAAAAAAAGTTGCCCTTCGATTTAATTTTTAGCGCATATTATATTCGTTATGGCTGGTTGGCTGTCCGGCTGAGATCTCAGCAATTACAATAGCTAGAGACTCGGCTAGAGATTTCAAATTTTCACTAAAAGCTTTCTGCTATAGTGTAGATGTGCAGGCTCTAGTCTATTTTGAGTTAGATTACTCATGAGATAGATAATTTTAAACTTCGCTAATCAAATACTGATCGATATTACCAAAAATGCGCTTTCATCATGCATATGCTGATTTATAACTTGTTTGCATTTGTTTTTTTAAGCACCAATGGTTAAAATATTGTGTAAACTACAGGGGGGTGTTGTTTCTCTAGGTTGAAACAATGCCGAAGATGAGAGCGAGCCACTCTGTTATAATCAAGATCCGCAAAACGATGGGTAAATGGTGTTTCTGGTTCAGTTGTATTGTTTTTTGTATTGTAGGTATGCGTGTAAGCCATCAAGCGTAAAGAAATGCGCCTTTTATGACGAGTTTATTCAAATATCAATTATCCACAATACGTCAATGTAGCTATTAGTTACCGATTATAAAATGTTATATTACATCGCTTCTACATATTTCTTAATAGGTTTCGATATTTATTATTAATTGCAACGGAAAGATCGATTACAATCACCCTGGGCCTTGAAAGTTTTTTAAGTTAGCACTACAAAAATCATGTCCACGTTGTGTGCTTTTCATGAGTAACTCTAACAAGTCATTCGAATTTCCCAATCACAACCCGATGTTACAATCCGGTTCGGCTATAACAATTAAAACCTCGATTACCTAAAACCGTACGTGGTACACGCGACTTGGTGTCACTTTTACAATTTCATACAATTTAATAAAATCTCTTTGTCACCGGCAACACGAATACTACCGGATCAATTAATTTTAGAACGTGCGGGAATAGGTCGGTTATTGGTGATAGAACCGCATTAAGAAAAAGAATAGATGTTAAAACAAGTAAAAGGTTTTTGCCCTAAGGCGAGTAATTTCAGCGCATTTTCCGAAAAGACCAACAAAGAAAGACTTCCATAAATGAGGAAGTTGGCATTGCGCAGTCTGCGCATGCGCACATTTGTTTTGTACTATGCGCGATATGTTTGGCCTTTACTAGAAGTATCGGTGGTTAAAATTTCAACAAAATATATTAATAAATGAGAAAGTTGACATTGATGTGCAGCTTAATCGTTAAGATTTTCCTTGGTTCAGGTGCCAGAGCTATACACTACCGAATGCAAAAAGAACAAACTAAATATCTTGAAAATTGTAGGAGTAGTTAAAGGCCTTGGACAGACGGACGGACAGAGAAAGTGGCTGCAATAGCGCACCCAACTTCGTTTGAAAATGTGCTCAAAAGGTTCATTGAGTCATTAGGGTGTCGTTCGCTTTTCTTACAACGGATTTGGCATTCTCAAATCTATTTACTATCTCCAAAACCATAGAAGATACGACGATTATCAATTTGGAGAAAAGATGCGCTTTTAAAAAGTTTATTTATTATTATGATTATCTTTTATTGTATCTAAAGAATTACAACTTCTTATTACAAGGGTACGGTTGAACTAAACGTGTTTAAACAATGCCTAATACTTTGACGAAAACAGTTTAACAAATTATCCGTATAAATCTAGCTCGAAATTTAGGTAAGAAAAATAATATCATTGTTGTTTTACAAATTAAAACAATAAAAAAATTACTCATTTAATAGAAATGAGTTATGATCATGCGTTAAAGAAAACCAGAAAATTCCGATTATGTACTTTCGAAGATAAATCCTAGGATAAATCAGTAAGTAAGTAAAACGGAAATTTGCCGATTTCATTTTAACACAACAGATTAGGTACCACTTTTTGAGGTCTATACAAGATAGCGTTAAGAGATTTTCAATACGTGTCGTTCCGGACAAATCATCATCAACTTTATTTTTTTATATGGCCCGTAAAAAAAGAAATGTCGGAAACTATTGGTTTCAACAGAATGGTGCACTTGCGCACAACCATTCGAGAATACCTCGGAGAATACATATTGGAGGAATTTGCCATTTTCCAGGAAATTTATCCGATATTCTGACACCATTAGGGCGGTGGGCGCGAGTGCTCCAAAATTTGTTATACTATTGCAAAATGGCGCCCAACGCAGGCCTGAAAGAAGGTCGGGATCATAACAGCTGATGAATCGTGGTTGTACCATATCACCATATGGTGAAATCGTCCCAGTCGATGGGCGAAACCTTTCCCAGACAAAAAAAAGGTCATCAAATTTGTTCCAATTAAAGCAACAATATTGAATTCTTAGATTAAAGTAAATGCGACGTTGGAGCTGAAGGACTTTACAAAAGAAGCATAGTTGTGACCAACAAGCAACAGAGGGACTAGGACGCAGTTTAGTCTTGCGCACGAGATCTTGCGGTTACGCTATGATTGTACTTCTGTAATCGGCTCCATCAATTTCAATATTTACAATGTTAAGATTGTTATGGTCTTGGGCGTGTTCTTATGTGCGGGGTCCACTCGACTTCTAAAATTGAATTCTTAGAGTAATAATAGGCGGATAAGGTCCGTATAACATCATATATGTACATACATAAATGTAAATCTCTTATGATTATAAACTGTAGATCCAAGTGTTTTTAAGTTTATTTGCACCGATTATCGTTCAAGCGTAGGTTATCAATCACCTTAAATTTAACGTCTATGCATTGGCAATTATCATTGTATTTATAAGCGAATATTATCTTACACTCGAGGGTACACTAGTAATACATCAATTTATAAAATACAGTTACTTCCCAATTCCGCTCCAATTCAGATAATAAATTAAAGAAATATAGGAAACGAGCTCCTGGATATGAGATGTCAAATCGTGCTAACGGACAGACATCGTAAAATTAAGAACCCGCTAGGAGCCCGTCATAGTATTTTACATTATTAGCCAGGTACCTAAATCAGTTTTTACTGGCTATAGGACAAAAGTTGACTGGCGAGCCTGTCATCTCCTAGAGCCAACAGATATATTTCGTTCAGATGTTCCAATCGCCCTTTGTGAGTATTCCCCTAATCTCTTCCGACAGCCTATTATCAAAATATTCCTTTTAACGTCACCAAATAGATATATCTGTATAGTTGCTTCTTGTATTATTCCAATTGGTCAACTTGCCTAATAGTCCGGGAGGTGGTGTCACTTTTTTATTAGTGATTTATCTCCGACTGAAAAGTAATTGATTAAAGAGTTTAACCATTACTCTGTTCGAAATCGAAAGTCAGTCGGCGCGACCGCGGTGGGAGTGGGCATGGGAAGCTGTGATAGGTATGAGACGCCAAAATTATGTAGAGTGCACCATATGCAAGTTTTGTAACTGAACCAAAAGATCAAAACTAATGCCGTTGCACTAAAATCCTCCATGAATTGATCACTTTGATCAGTACTTCCAGAAAAGTCATAGCGGACTACTTATGTGCACAAAGGAAAATAAGCGAAGGCATAAATATTCTTATAAATAAAAAACTTGTTTAAAAAATGCGATATGTTTGCTTTGACTAGAAGAATCTTTGGTTAAAACTTCAAAAAATAACTAAATAGAAACTTGACATTGCGCATGATAATAATAATTAATAATAATAATAATTTTATTTTATTAGACCTTTGTAGCTATTTTTACAATAGATAAGGCTAGTCACACAAAGAAAATCAATAGGTATAAAACACACACATTGTACAAATATTGGACAAACATTATTATTTAGATGACATTCAAGTACTCTTGGATTGTGTAACAACACTTTACAATGAGTAGGTCTTTGAGCACATTTTTGAAAGTGTTTGTATTAGTGATATTCTTGATGTCAGGTGATAGTACATTGTAAAGGTAACACCCTGCGTACTGGACCGACTTCTTGAATTTTGAGTGATGGCATTTCGGAAGATACAAATTATCTCCAGATCTAGTGGAATATTCATGGTTGTCGCGGTTTCGTTTTAAAACTAGTCGGTGTTTATGAATGTACACTAAAATTTTTAACAAGTAAACTGACACAAAGGTTAAAAGTCTATTATTTCTAAACGTGTCTCTACACGATTCGTTAAATTTTAGATTGTATATACGCCGGATTACTCGTTTTTGTAAGGTAAACACTCTACAAGCTTCTGTTGATTGTCCCCACACGATAATGTTGTAACTAAAAGCAGAATACACTTTGGCATAGTAAACTGAGAGTAACGCATTTTTGTCCAGGTAATTAGTTAAATTAAGGAAAAGATAGTGTAGTTTTTTTTAATTTTATACAGACGAGGTCAATATGGTCAGAGAAAGTCAACTTACTATCGATAACAGTTCCCAGAAAAGTAGCTTTTTCAACAAGATTAATAATTTGTCCGTCGTCGGTTTGAATTGAGATAGTTTGGGGGTTTCTAGTTCCGTAGCTGAAGCCTATACACGCTGTTTTGTTTATATTGACTTTCAGTTTATTATAAAAGCACCATTTCATAAATAAACTGAGCGCAGTTTCGAGCTTTGATATCGCTTCTTCT